CGATTACGAAAACAGAGATAAGAATGAAATTGTGACAGTAACGAGGAAACGAAAAATACAAAGGCGAATCATAGTTGATGGTAAAGAGGTTTTAATCGATGTAGTTGTTGATGAGCCACAGAGTGGTTTGGAGATATTGAATCAACCAGATGATGAGTCGAAACTAAAAGCTTTACAGATAGATCAACCAAACGTAAACGTACATGTGTTAGATGACCACAAAGTAACAACCTCAACATCTGTAACTCATAAAAGAATACGTAAAGTCATTAGGCACGTGAATGTTGTCGACGGAAAAGAAATTATAGAAGAAGAAATAATAGATATCCCTGAATGTGAGGAGAGCCCCAATGAGGTTGTTTCTGAAATTCAGGCTATTGATATTAATTCATCTAAAACGCAATCGATATTTGAGAAGTTGAAAGGTTTGGTGGGCCATTCAAACAAAGGACTGGATGATAGAATAATTATTTCTTCTGATACTAGTCATACTGATTTATCACCAAACAATGGAGCACTTAAAGATTATAAGTCAGATCATCTGGATTCAGATATCAATGTTGTTGCTCACCCTTCTTCTGCTGATATTTTTAATATGAGTGATACTTCTAGTAGTTTTAACAGTAAACGCACAAAATCGCCCGTAATGAGTGAATTAGATCGAAATAGATGTGTTGTGAAAAAAATGGTTGATGAAGATGGTATTAAGAAATTTGTGTTTGAAATGAAAGATGTGCCATTATCACAGAGTATAAATATAAAAAGTGATTTGTCTGGTTCAATTGACCTTATAAATATCATGAAAAATAACATTTTAAAATCTGATACTCAAAACAAATTTGCTGTATATACTACATTTTTTGAAGAAATCTACGAGCTTTTAGAAATTATCATTTTTCACGCCACTAATCAAAAAGTAAGTACATTCTTGTTTGATGCTATTTTTGTATGCACATATAGTATTTTTTTTCTATTCGTAATACGCATAGTGTTAATTAGTTTTGATTTGACCTATTTATCTTAATCTTAATTACTATAACTCATTGTACTTTCCAGACATTACGTTGTGTTATTGGTTTATGATTCTTCTATAACTATATAAACTCATAGATTAGTTTTACTTATTTGTTTGTATGGTGGTTGATGAATCATATGAGCTTTAAATATAATATTATTTCAAACTACAGAATTTTAAATTTTTTTTTAGTTTTTCTTTCAATATTGATTTTTCAATTTACTTAAATAGTTTTATAATTATTTTAGTGAGTATTCATTTTTTTCATGATATATATAAACATTATTTTAAAAATCTCAAATATATCATATGCTACATACAATATAACATTTAAATACTTTCATAATTTTAATTTCATTATCATATACAATATATATATATTTATATTGTCTTGTATCAAATGTTTGATTAGTTAAAGATTCTATGTTTGATAAAATGTATGTAAGATATTTTCTATTTAATATCTACTACATATAATATCTACTCCATAATCCTATATTCTACACGTTTCTTCCGATCTTCATAAGAAAACCTTACTTTATTCATCATATTTTTTAACCATTTTTAACTTAATTATATAAAATATACCTCCTTAAGCTAATCGTCGAGATTAATATTTTTGTTAAAAACAAAAAAATATTTGTTGAATAAAAAATATTTATCAATAAAACTATTATTCTTCTTTCTATTTTTTAAAAATTGATATTTATTAATAATTATTTGATATACAAATTACAAACTATTCTATGTGATATTTATGAATGTGGTTATTTAATCCATTATATTTTTTTTTAACGAAAAATTATAATAAAACAAAATAAACTTATATTTATGTGTTTTTTTATATCCTTATTTAGAACCCAAATAGAATAACGTTAAACTTAGAAGAACCAATAAACGCAAAACAAATAGTAAATCAAATAGAATCAGCTGTAAAAGATGTATCTAATATAAAGGAAAAATATACAAATTCAAAAGAAGACTATGAAAAAATAAAAAAAATAATAGAACAACTCCAGAGTAAAACTAAAGAAGTCAAACTTCGGATTGAAAATTGTAATGAAGATATTGATTCAGTTGATTGGCATAAACAAAATATATCAATTGAAAGTTCCAAAAAAAAATTAGAACAGTATAAAATTGAATTTGAACAATTAAAGAAAGGAAAACTAGCATATCAAGTAAGTCTTCATGAATCATATTTTACAGTTTGTTTTGTAATACTAATGGTTGTATAAGTTATTGACAATTTAATAATAAACAATAATAATATCTAAAATAAAGAAAAGCCTAAAAAAGATATTACATTTTAGGCGTTTGTATAAATTGATAAATTAAATGCTCTTAAAAATACCAAATTATGTATAAAACATTTAATTTACAAATTATTTATTATAATTATAGGCTGTATACATGATTACAACCAAATAAATTGCACTTACTGATCATAATCTTAGGTCGTTTCTAATAGAAATTATTTCATAGTTTTTATGATTCTCGAGAATGGAGTGTTATTTTACAAAATTCTAAATAGTTAACCTAAAAATTTTTAAAAACATACAAAAAGTAGTGAAAAAACCACAACATTTATGTTTTCGAATAAATCTATTATATTTTTTCGTCGCAACTCGAAAAATAATTTTTGTAGAGATCTAAAATATTCACTCAATGTATATATCACCATTCGATATAGTAATTATAATTTAAAAATAATTTTGGGTTATTTATAGACAGTAAAACATTTATTTTTTATTTTTTATGGTTTTTCGAAAATATTAATTAATTAATTTTGATTTGTAAAAAAGCATTAGGACCTAGAAACTTCACCATTTTTTATTTTATAACTACATTTTGTTTAATTTTATAGGAAAAATTTGATAAAATGGAAAAATTATTTGATTACAATCATATAATAATTGACGATATCTATACAATTATAAGTATTTATAAAATAAAAAATAACTCAAAAAATAAACTACCTGATGACACATATAAATCACTAAAGAGTGCAATAAAATTAGAAAAAGAAATAGAAAATACAACCAAAACTATCCTCGAAGAAATTGAAAAAGAAAATTTAATCAATTCAAATACTAATCATTTAAAATCAGTATGTGAATCAATAAAGAAGAACAACGAAAAGATAATCAAATATTCTAATATCAAACACATTCAGGTATAGCTTTATAAATATTCATAATCAATTATAATATTTACTTATAGCAATATTTTTCCAGGAGGATTGTGATAGATATAATCATGTGGGTTCAGAATTGATAAACCTAAAATTCTCATTAGAAGCACAGAAATCGGATAAAATTAACATAAAACATCTTGATACGGAACTTAATAAAACGCATTTAAATCTGAAAAAATTACTAACTATTCAAAATGAATGGACTCGTTTGGAAGACATTTTAACAGCTGAACAAAAATGGTTAGACGAAATTGGAATATCAATTCTTGATTTGACAAAAATTACGTCTAATAATTATATTCAAACGTTATCTAATACACAGGTAAAAATTGACTGCAATGTAAATACTGTCATTTATTTCATTAATATTTAATTATCACCAAATATGTTTCTTATATAAATTATCTTATTAACTTATTACATGTTTTTTTTTACTTTTTAACAGAATACAATAACAGAAGTAGCAATCCATTATGATTCACTTTTATACTTAAAGGATATAATAGATAAACTTGAGAATCAAATCGATGTAAAACCATTATTGTATGTATGTGAACAACATACGAATGATACATTTAAGTTGAAAAACAATTTAAGAACCAAAGAAATACGTTTAATCGATTTTAAAAAACATTTTATTAAGTATATTGTTTTGAAGAAAAATATAGAATCGACTCTTTCACGTATAACATCTGACTTGGAAAATATTATACCAAATCAGAAAATCGACTATAACAATGTAAGAATGCATAATAAATATAATTTTTGTTTATTTATTTATTCGTATATTTCCTTAGGGAATTCAATCCGAGCTACAATTTATAGAAGAATCAATAAAAAATTGTTCTATTCATTTAAATGAATCACTTGATGTTCTTCCAATTTCTGATGGACAAAATGAAATAGAAGCTGTTGGAGCAATTACAGCAGAATACAAAGTATTAAAAGAAAAATCGTACAAAAATATGTCAGACTTTGACAATGGTGATATTTTAAAAACATTTAAATGTCTAGAAAGTTCATTGGAAAAACCAAAAGACACGTTGTTAGATCACATTAGAACACTCAAAGTAAGTGAACTAATACATTAATTAATATCATATAATAATACACTTTTAATTTGCAGGGTGTTACATACGAAATGGGTAAAATCGAGGGTCTTGAAAAAGATCAACAATTAACAGAGCAATTTAGTACATTCCAAATCCAATGCAGTAGTCAGCTACTGAACTATTCGGAATTAAATACAAAAATCGAATATTTACGTAATACCTTGACTGATCTTACACATAACTTAGACAATACTGACCTAATTTTGATAGAGCTAGAGAACGAATCACATAAAGATAGACACACTTCAGAAACAGCATTATCTAAAACATACCACGTAAGTTAATTTTAATCAAGAATACTTTTATGCCTAATTACTAACTGAAAATACCATTTACAGCAAGTTACAGATAAAATGAAAAACATGCAACAGAAACTGTCACAAGCTTCTCAACAGTTGAAACCATTAAAAGACAATCTGAAACCCTTTAAAAAAGAGAAGAAAGCATTAGAATCCGAAGTGAATGAAATTGAAAAACGATATAAACAATTAAAAACGAAACATCAAAGTGTGCTAAAAATTTTGGAAAATAAATGCAGTTATTGGATAATGGTCGATGAGCTGTTATTAAAGATTAGATTAATAAATAATTCTACAAACAATTTAATCCTTATCAAGCCAAATTCAGACACCCTAGCAGACAAATACTTAGAAGCAATATGGAAACACCTAAAGGTAAATATCTTCAATTTATTCTTCGAAAAATAATTTATTATTTATAAAATAATTTCAAGTATCAAATTTGATTAAAAATGATAATTAATTGATGAAATATAATTTATACGAGTAATAAATAAAATAATTTATTTTTCCTTTAATGATCGGTTACTATAGTTATCCACCTGAAAATCACAGTTTATTAAATATTTTATTTTATGCTTTAAAATTCAATATATTGGTGAATTAAATTTAGATATACTTTAATATCCTTAAATTAGAAAAAATATAATTAAATTTCAAATAAAACGCATTATTAATTATTTGTAAAACTACGTAAATTATTATATATATTTATAAATTATTTATTGTTCATATTATATTACTTATTATATCTATATACTGACATAGATTAAACTAAATAATTTTCCATAGATAAATAAAAAATTACAACCAAATACTCATACTTAATAAAAAAATATAATAACAATTTGCTCATTAATTTACTTTATTTTTATAATTTACAAAAAAATGAATATATGCAAGAGTATAACAATTTTTTACTGAGTTCAGAGTGCGTAATATTATAATAGTACATTTTGAATAATTTAATATTTCACAAGAAGAGTTCTATCTATATATATTATCCACAAAAATAATTTAAAATTCAAACCAATGTTGCTAAATGAATCATTTAACTGTTTATTTATTTTATTCTTCCATCTAATATCAAAAATAAAATGTTAACAAAAGAAGAATTTTATTCATTTTATTGTAAATATACAATTTCTATTTGTGTTTATGGGATGTTTATATACGAGTTACATGAAGTATAAATATGTTTAGCTATTAAGGCATAACAGAACGTAACAATACATAATTTCAGTTAACATTAAAATTTAATTCAATATCGAATTTCTTTATGATTTTAATAATAAGTATCCTATATAATACGTTACTTGATCAATCTAATTTTTAGTAATACATTTTATTGTTCACTCGACCATTTAGTTGAATACAAAATATATTCAAAAACAATGCTATTTTTGGTGAGAATAATTACTATTCTGTCGTATTTACGTTTAATTTATTAAATAAGATACTTATAGAGGTCATTGACTTGAAGCCAAATCCGAGTCTACGATTTAAGTGAGTGAAAATATAATATGTGCCTTAATATTATAATGATGTTTGTGATCCGAACCAAAGTTATTCTTCAATACATTGTTTATAAATTTAAATAAAACATAAGTAAATATGAATTATACTATTGTTAGACAATTATAAGATTTTTCTGATATAAAATATGTAGGATTTATATTTTCTCACTTAAGTATTCACTAAATGCCCTTTTTCAAATTACTGGAGTATGTTTTTCGATGATGACATACCGTTACTAAAACATTTCAAAGTTAATCTGCTAACTACAGTTGTATGTAATATTTTAATTTAATTTTGTAAAGGAATTTAACGGCTTAAAATATAAGTTGATTTTATTAAAGGGCCGTTTGCCAAAAAATGCCAACAAATTTTTGAATCACGCTTAAATGCAAAATACTATGTTAGAATTTTACACGATATTAAAGCTCATCGACGTTCGTAAGTTTCCTGTTTCAGCTAATCAAAAACACCGTGCGCTGTCAGTTTTATAGTTGAAATTGTGCGTGCGATTCTGAAAATACTACACTCCAAATGTACTAAAGTTTATTTCATTTATGAATGTAATTATATTTTTATTTTTATTATTTTCTTTCGTAAAAACAATTGATAACCGACGATGAACGACGAGCGAAGTGTTATTGTCCGGGACGACGAACGCGAACGACAGTTGAAATGCTAAAGGAAAAAAAAAATCGAAATGAATCGCGAGAGCGAAACATGCGATGCAATACGTCCGCCCGTGAACTCCGTGGACTTCCGACGGTGTTCGTCAATCGGTCGGTATCCCCGCACGTGCCTGTCGTAATAATCACATACCCTATGCAGCGCGGAACATTCTTCCGACTTGCCGTCGGCCAAAACGACATGTGCTCGCGCTTATAACGAAAATAAAACCGTTCTATTTCCGGTGTTAGTTGTCGTGCCCGGTGTAAGATTTCGTCCCGTCGACGACGTTATTAAATGTAAATGTTCATGTCGATGGTCGGTAATGGTAGCCATTTCCCTCGCATGTCACCGCTGCACGGTACTGATGCGACAACCACGGTGAACGCGCACAATTTATTTTTAATTCGACCGTAAGCCGATAAATCGGTCCGACGACGGCGACTGTTTATTCGACTGTTCATAATGTCGTCGACCGCAGCAGTCGTTGTGTTGGCCAACTTTTTTCGTTTTTTTTTTTTTTGTTTTCTGTAGTCCGGATTCGTTGCTATGCTGGTCTTAAATTCGTCCCATGCAAGTACCAATTGATAGCTAAACAATTTCAGTTTAGGCAGCTAAAAATTTTAACTTTTTGGCATTCTCAACTTTTCCCAAAATCGTATAACACAATTAAATTTGAAATACCACCCGCAGAAAACCATAATTACGGTCCAATCGAATCAAATTTTTGATATTCAAACCCGTTCATTAGTGGATTATCAGATGTAACTTTTATTTATAAATTAATCATTGGTTATATCAACTCTCTTTCCTTACTAAATTCTATTCGCTTTCATGTACCTTCTTACAATAGCCTATCAATCCCTCTTTTTTATAAACCATCTTACAGCACAAACTACCTCCCCGACTTCTTCTTTATTGAAAATTTTAAATTCACATTGTACCGAAACCCATTAGCTAATTTATATTCTGTAATCACTAATTTGCTGATCATAATTTTGTTTTATATTATATATACCTAAAAACACTCTATATGTAATATCTATATGTTACAATGTAGATACATAATTTTATATAAGGCTAAACCTTACCACTGGGTTTCGGCCCGTTTTTATTCATTTATTTGAATAAAATATTAATAACGAAAATTGTTCAAATAAAAAAAAATCTCAAGAACAATGTTCGTAAGCTCCTGGATAAACGGACAAAATCGATTTTTAATATTTAATTATTGCTGTCGTTTCGTGATTTCGACCCTTCGACGTGCATCGTTCGGGTGAAAATAGATTCGGCGATAAGTTGTTTTTTTTTTTCTCTCCGAGTGGTGATTTTGGTTAAAAATAATAATGGATGAAAAAAAAAAAAAACGATCGCGAAATTCGGGTACGATCTTGGGATGAATTCGCAAAGGTTTTCGGGCGCATCGCGTTCTCCCAGTCTCGTGATCGGGGCGCAACGTCACGGCCGCGGTCGGATGAGAGAGGCGGGCGCGTGCGAGCGCGTGATTGCTGTGCGAAAAAAAAAACCGCGCGCCACCGGCTGACGGCCTCAGTAAGTGTTCGGCTCGCAATCGCACGCCGCAAGTCCCGTGACCATCGCGCGCGATCGTCGTCGCGTTATTCGCCCGCCCACCGTTGGGGTGATTCGACGTTTTCCGCCGGTCCCGTCCCGCGACCGTTTTCGACCCGGACTCGGCGTTTTTCGTTCTGGACACCGTGACCACGGTCCGACGCCCGCGCGTTAACACCCGGACACTTCGCTCGCGCATTGTTCGCCTCCATTTGCCGTCCCCCACGGCTGGTGCTAGCGGCCAAGACCGATCGGAAACAAGTAAGAACGCCAATCGGGTGATTGATCTCCCCGGTCGCATATCAGCTTTGACCGTTTCATCCGCAAACCGGTCATCTTACGTCGATCATCCGGTGTTTTTTTTTTTTTTTTTATACCAATCGAATACGAATTGAACCCTTCCCCTCCCATCCGAAGTTTTCGTTTAGATTCTCACGAAATATCCCGTCGTTGTACGAGGAAATTTTAATTTTTCCCTCTCCGACTGCGCGATGCACACTTGCCAGACGCGTTGGAAAACGATTTCAATGTACTTAACCTACTTTTTAGATACTCGAAAGCAAACAAACGTATATTGTATGATTTTTTTAAAAAGTAATAAAATTGATATTTTGAATAGTTGAAACTCGATTTAAAATCATAATTATATTCTACATTGATTGATGAAATTATAACAACCAAGTTCAATTTCATAATAAAATTCATATTTATAAACGATTATATATCATTGCTGACAATGTAAAAAGCACTTATACATATTTCCTGCTACCATATTTTATTAATATGTAAACTAAATAGTGTTAAATGATTACTAAATGATTCGCAATCAAACATATAGAATGAATTAATCAATTTATATAGTTGGCAATAAAATTCACTAGTAGTTATCGTGAAAACTTAGTATATAAAATCATACTCTTGTTATTATACTCGTAACTGAAATGTAATGCGTCATCAAATACTAATAATTCGCAATACAAATCGTAATCAGCTGATTCTAAAATGGAAAGAATTGAAAAATATTATATAAAATGTATATGTTCCGAACAGATTATTCTACCATCCACATCGTAATATTATTTCCAAATAAATTGTGTACATACATTAAACGAATAATTTTAAACACACACCTAATAGTTTATGATAAAATATGAAACAATGATTTATAGAATAATTTATTGAGTACTAACTTATCTTTGAAAACAAAGTTTCACCAAAAGCTTTTTTCAAATAACAGATAATATGTAGAAACTACAAACAAAACAAAATCACAAATTGCCTACCACAATTCTAAAAAATATACTATTTTTAAACAAATATTTAAATTTTAAATCGAAGGTCCTTATAATTTTATATTCTTTTTCTTTTGATTTTGTCTTTAGTAGGTACTTCGTTATCTTTCCATTAACCTCATTCTTTCGCATATATTTCAAGTACAGTCTTAAAATTCTATATCTATATCTCGTCATTAGTTGATTAACTTATATTGGAAAAACGTTTGCATTTCGTAATAACAATAAAAATATTTTGATCGTAAATGATATTAATACTATAATTTAACAAAATATTTTAAAGTATAGCTATCCAAAATACACATACGATGAAAGATTTTTAAACCATAATCACTCTTTTTAAATTTAATTATTAATAATTATATAATTTTTTTTTTTTTTATTTATTATTATTATTATTATTATTATATTAATTAATATATTTAATTTAACTAGAAAATACATCATCATATATATATATATCAAAAATATTATTTTTTTTTTGTAAAAAAAACTTAAAATTTTACTTGGAATTAATACTTTTCCAATCTTCTTAAAAAATACATTAATACATGGATTATTCATTCAACAAAAAAATTGAAATCAACAGATTTAACAAACTCAATTTAACTGATTTTAATTTTTTAATTGATGATAAACTGAATATATAAAAGAAAAAATTATTTTCAATTTTACTAAAAATAAAGGAATGCCCAAAAATGTCATACAAAATTGTATAAATGTTTTTTGTTTTTTTTTTTTCAATAAATTACAAATACTTTTTTAAACACTCCTATATTTTTATAGTTACTAACATTAATTTCATAAACTCATTTACGTATTCAATTTTAACAATGTTTACTTAGTGGAATCCTAAACTCATGATTGTGTGCACAAATACTGAAATGTTAAATGTTCGATATCATTACATACTAGGGAACATCATCGTAATTGAATAGTAAATATATCTAAAGTGTATTTTAACGTACTCAATGTCATAAAGATCCATTAGATAAATAATTTGCAGCTGTTTACTTAAATTTTAGTATCACATTATACTGTTTTACTCTCACTATATACTGTTTTACCATGAATAATGAAAACGATAAAACCATTTAAATTTTTTTAATATTTAGCACAATACCATTCATAATTTTCAATGATTTTCAACAAATTCTTTAATAAACCAATTTTAATATCATTCAGCACACATATTTATTTTAATGTATTATTCACCAACACCTTAACTCTCTTTAAAAATATAATTCAATAATGGTTATAAATTGTATAGTACGTGCCAACGTTGAAAATGTGACTGCAATACATACCTATAATAATATGACCTACAGTATAAGTACTACAGTTTACAACTGAATAATAATTTACACTCCAACTCGTGCATTGGTTATTTAATTTATTTGAATTGTTTATCTGTTCTTATAATTGGTTCATTAGACATAATAATAAATATATGTATAATTTATTTATTGCCTATTCAATTTTTAGGATGTCCGGAGTGCTTATGATAAAGAGAATAAAATTATTTTGGCTGACATTGAAAGTTTACGTAAGAAAGGAGATAAACAGCAAATCGATAATATAATCGAGAATGATCTAAAACAATGGGTTGATACTGGAGTAGCGGTAAAACAATTAGTAGATCGTTATGAAAAAGCATCTAAAACGCTGCATGATTATCAACAATTGAAAGAATCCACAAACGATTGGTTGAACGCCAAACTTTTGTCAGTCGAAAGCACTGAAGATGTATCAGAAAAAACTAAATCAATTGATAAACAAAAGGAAAATTTGGTCGACTTACGGAACATGATAACGGACGTAGCTGAAACCATTGGACTAAATTCGGATGATGTACCGTTAAACGAAATCGAAGAGTTGAGTTTAAAACTCGATAAAGTTCAAAAAGTACTCACTGCTCTCGGAGACGTTGCAGCCAAAAAGAATAAAATTTCATATGAAATTGAGAATGCAAAACAATTTTTACATGATATTGAAAAGGTATGTACACATTTTAACAGAATTATGAAATAGATTTGATGTAAATCTATCTATACAAAAACATTTGGTATCTTGACTTTCTCTATTGATTTGCCCTCTTTACTTATAATAATCCGATAAAAAGTTTTAATGGTTTCTGAAAGTTAAACAAAAGCGTGCAATTTCTAACAAAAACAATTTCCGAAAACTTTCAGCACGTTTTTTTATGTCTACAATATAATAAAAGTTTAAATGTAATTACTATTATTCTCATCTTAACCAAAAAACCAATACACTTCATCGTATTATAATAGTATATTATTCAAGAGTATAAATGTAACTGAGTATAAAGCTTACGTTTTTTTTTTCAGAATTCGTCAAAACCGATTAAAAACAATGATGAGAAATTAAAGGAATTGAGAAGTATATTATTAGATTTGAACAAATCAAAAAAAGAGATGGACGAATCACTTGATATAGATAGCTTTGAAGTACCTCTTAATGAAAAACGGACTTACTCCATAGTAGAAGTTTTACAGGTAAAATATACTTAACTGAACCTTTTATGAGAACTTATAAAAATAAAATATAACTGTTTTAGCTTTGGCAACAAATATTCAAAGAAACTTTCCAAGAATACCGAAAATTATCATGTTCTCTACTCGAAAATGAAAACAATGTCGCCGTATTTGAAATTTGGCACGATTATCTTATTTATGTACAAGAATTTTTACAATCTCCTATTCCTGGTGACTATCATTCGCTAACGAGTCATGAACGACTATTCCAAGTACACCAAGAAGTATTGATAAGTCAAATGGATACCATACCTAATTGCATGAATAAGCCAGACGTCATCTCGGAACCTGCAGCAATGGAAAGACTTTCGTCTTTAATAGATTTACATAACGAAACAATGACAAAACTCGAAAATACTCATCAAGAAGTGTGGACTAAAATAGAACTGTGGAAAGAATATAGAACAAATGTCAAGAAAGTATATGAATGGCTATGGAGCGTTGAAAAGACACATTCCAATTTAAATTTAAAATTCATCAACACAAGAAGATTACCGAACTTAAAAATTCAAATAACCGTGAGTATAAAAAAAATTTTAAATTAAATTTTCTTTAGTGAAGTAAAATATAAAAAAGAATAATTAGGTACTATATAATTATAACCGTGTGATTCATAATAATATACCTAATTTAATACAATGAATTTTATTTTTTATTTTTTCATAGAATCTATTGAGCGATTTGGCCAAGAACCGTTCTCAGATAGAAGATCTCGAAAAACGTCAAAACACAATATTTACATTCTGTGATAAAACTACTGAGACTGGTTACAGAAAAGAGCTAATTGCAATCAGTCAAAGGATTAATGAAATTCAGGCATCATTAGAAGTGTGGAATGGCTATCTAGAAAATATTGAAAAACAAATCAATGCTTTTGGTAATCAAAGCACTGAGATAAATAGAGTATTGCAAGATGGACAAAATAAATTTGAAACTCTTCAACATGAATTTAATTATAAACAAGAAGATATAGTGCCATCCGATAAGCTTAATACAGAAATGAAGAAAATACAAGAGTTAAACAATCAATTGAAACAACTAGATACGCAGCTATTATCTACTACAGACATACGAGACAAGTTAAAAGATTCCCTTGATCCTATTGAAATTCGTTCATATGGTCAAAAACTTAGGTTTTTAAAATATCACCAAAAAGACTTACTTTATCAATTATTCTTGTACTCTTGTCAAATCGACAATTTACTTTACAAGCCACAAGAATTTACGCACAGGTAATATACACATTAATTACATATATTTTATCCCATTTATACAATGTTTTTTTTGTTAACAGATACACTAGATTTAAGAACTGGACTATTGATACAGAAACTCAATTGAAAAATTTAACTCAATCGCTGAAAGATCCTCAGTTTGCTATAAACGTGTTAAAACCCGAATTCGAATCTCAAATCAATTTAAAACAAAAAGAATTTAATTGGTTAAATGGAGCTGGACAACAGCTTATTACCGCCGAATCCCAATTAAACCCTGAGCTAGCAAGTACTACTGAATCCAACTTAAAAGAAGTCAATACAATTTGGAATAATCTAAACAATTCATTATATAAATATACAGTAGAATTACCAACAACGATTTTGGTAAGTCCATGTTATTAAATATTTTTCGGTTTTTAATTGTTTAAATTTATTATTTTTAGAATACAAATAAATTATTTGATGAAATCAATACTTTTAAAATTTGGATCAATAATTTAGAATCAAAACTAAATAGTCCTATTGTCTTTGATGACCGTTCAGAATATAATTTAAAAAATCAAATAAATAGTTTAAATGTAAGTAGTACAATATATAAGTAGTCAATCGGCTTAGCGAATATTATTAAAAACATTTCTTCATAAAATAATTCTTAACATAGTTCTATAATAGCTATTTGAAAACTAATAACTTACATTTAAATTGTGTTTAAAGGTTATCAGTCAAATCTACAAAGAAAAACAAGGAGAATTTGACGACTTAATGGTTAGATGTGATAAACAGTTGAAAAACGATGAAAGTTCGAATAGTTCTGATAGTAATCAAGATCTACAGAGCCCATTGAAGACACTTCCTATAAGGTATATAATTATTATAATTTTAAAATTATTTATATATTTATAATTTACTCATTGGTTTTTACTTTTTTATAGTTGGAAAAATCTAGAAAATAAGATTAACGATAAACGAACGCGTGTAGTGAGTGCATGGGAAGAATTACAGACTGTTCTTGGTTTAATTGATGCAGAAACTAAATGGCTAAAACGCTTGAATACTACTATAGATGAACGTAAAAAACAAAATTATATTGAACACAGAAATTTACCAGTATTGATCAGTCATTTTGAGGTGAGTTCATTACAAAACACGTATAAATTGCTCAGACTACAATTTTAATAATACTAAAATTATTATAACATTATTAGCAGGAACAACAAAACGCAAAGGACAAGCTTTCAAAAATAGAACTTGCCGTTTCTTTATCACGTTCTTCATATACGGCCAAGTTCATTGACGAAGAAATCGAAATAATTAAAAACAAGAGAGAATTCACGTTAGAACAAGTCAATACTCAATTAGCAATTCTTAAAAAATCATTAATGTTATGGAAAGACTTTATTAATGCACATGGAAGAGCAGTGGTAACCCTTACACAAGTTGATACCAAACTGATTCAACTCGAGTTGTTAGATAAATCCGACAATACTGACGATGAAAATGCACGTGTTACGGAAAAATATCTTGGGAATTTGCAGGTACACATTCATTTTTATAATATTATAAACATAATAAATATCGTGAATATTCATTTTACAATAATTTATTTTTGAAACTTAACATCAAATAATATTATTTTTCTAAAAATACAATTTTATTTAGCTTGTTATCAGAGACTGTAGTTAATTAGTTACTGTAACTAAAAATCTTTTTGCATATTTTCTAATAATTTTAACTAATCAACATAGATTTCTCAATACATTTTTATCAAATTTTAAGGTATTAAATTTTACCAAAAATTATAATTTGTTATTATTTCAAAGGTAACCGTTAGCCAACGGTAACTTGTAACCATAAAAAATGTATCGTTATCACTGATCTCTAATATTTTTAACAATTTTTCCTCTTAGAAAACACACACACATGTATATACATCCAATGAAATATCAATCATAAAATGAGTATCATAAAATGTTTTATTTCTTTAGATATTAGAAATGGAGTTGAAAAAATATGGAGGACTTCTCGAAAAAGCAGATGTTTTAGGTCTGCAATTGATGAAAGAAAGTACGCCAGGTGATATAAAAAATATTCAAGAAATGATTGATGAGTATCAAATTTTATGGAAGGATATCAACAGCCGTATTGAAAAATTGAAGGTAACATGTGTTCAAGAAACTACGTGTAGAAAGAAGGTAAATATTAAATATTCATAATTATCTTTAAATGATAACGAATTAAAATTTTCTTTTATAAATAGCGATCAGCAAACGAAGAAGTTCAAGTAGAAACGTTAAAGTTCGGTAAAGATTCACAAGTGCAAGTTGACACACTTCCTAATGAATTACTTAGAAAAGACTCATTCCTATACGAATTACAAACAGCAATGACGAATGCTACAACCAACCTCAATGACTTGGAGCTGGCCCTTCAAAATTCTGACAAGAACTTGTCGAAAAATATTGCGACATGTCAAATGTCCGTTGACCTGATCAAACACTTAAGTATAATACTAAAAACACAATGTGGAGTACCCGAATCTGATATAACTTTGGTCAAATCTGAAGGCTTATTAAATAAGTACGAGGAATTACTTGTAAAATTCCGATCGCAACAGCAAGTCGGTCAATCTAAGTATGTCGAGAGATTCATTCTATATAATGATTATATATATTCTATGTATGCTAATAATAATCACTGATATAACTTTTAGAACAAGCAGTTCCGCATTTTGTCCACTGTGTTCCGAACAAAACTGGTCTCAATTTGAAAACGACATGTGGCGCTTAGAACACTGGATACAGTCGACTGAAGCAAAGCTTAGTGTTCAACCAATGGTACCGCCATCAAAAATTGAACAATTGGAAGACGTTATTCAAGAGCACAGAGTACGAATAAGTCTTTGAAAAAAATAGTTCAAGTTATTAAAATAGTAATATTAACTCACGCTCTTTTTGTTTTTAGGAACTTTTATTGTACTTAGACAGTCATCGCAATATCGTAAAATCGTTGAACGTGATTGGTCTTCATTTGGCTGACCACAGCAACGACGAAGAAAGAGCAATACAAATCAAAAACCGCTTAAAAGCTACCAATTCTAGATGGGATCGTGTTTGTTTCGCTTGTACCGAATGGCAGACAAAACTTCAAACTGCTCTTATGGAGGTACGAGTTGACTTTCATAAGTCATGTTTTTGTCTGTTTAGTTAAATTATTTGAATATAAAATATTTCATAAGTAAATTACTTATGAAGTAAACTATTACTTAAGGAAGTAATTCTACGTCCTTAGTGTAAAATATATAATCTAAACTAACTAGTCTAACTTCGCTGATTTTGGTATGAGTATTATTATTTAATGCGCTTATAAGATACTTTAAACAATCCTAAGTAAAGAAGTTTAGTTTACTTAAAAAGTAATTCAAACACTGTTAAACATACATCTTCATGCTTATTTATTCATTATTTTTAATTTTTTTTATATATACATAATATTAGTCCCTATTTTTCATAAAAATTCGTACTACACATTTTTTTAATATACAATGATATGATAAAAAGCTCCTCTCTACCCCTTCCATATGATTATAAATTTTTGTACAGTGTCAATAATAATTTTTAGTAATAGTTCTTTTTTTTAATCGAATTGCACATTATAATTAGTTAAACTAAAAACCAAACTGATATTATTTTTTAAACTGAAAATATACTTTTGTCTAGTATAAATCTGAAAACTGTTTACAAATTATTTATTTTAATGTAGGATATATAACTTAAAATATAATAGACATATTTAAGTCCTCATCAGCTATCATGCTTAAACTGACTTCCCGAAAAACACCTTTATAATAGTCTTATTTATTAGTATTTAATAGGTACACACTTTTCGAATCCCGTAGTGCACACTTGCAGTTTCGGACTACAGACTTTGTATCGAGGTTCACTAAAAAATAGGGACTGCATAATATTACAAGTTTCGGAATTTTCCCGAGAGTGTCTGACACAGATTTAAAAGCTTTATTAAAATTAAGTAATACTCACAATTATACTAGTTATATTATCAATAAACAATTCATTATTAAACGTTTGGAATTTTAAGAGGAACATAGATTATTGTTTCGATGTTACTATTGTAATTTTTTCGCTTAAAATAGTAACAATATTTTAATTTGTTTTAGAACGACGAATTCTACAGCGTAATAGAGGAACTCGTCGATTGGTTAGACGAAACAGAACGGACCATCAAGACGACCGAACCGGTAGACCTATCAGAGGACACGGAGGTCATAGTTGAAAAATTCAACAAATTTAAAGTAAAAAAATCCGCATTTCTATTTTAACAACTTATTCGAGACGAACAAGTGTATTAATAAGGGCAATGAGGTTATTGGATTAAAAAAAAAAAAAAAAAAAAACCATTTAACTGATTGCATTATTGCATTAAAACGTATTAAAAATGCTTCTGATAATTTTGAAAATTGAAATATAATTATATTAAATTTAAAACAATTTAATACGAATATTTTTACATAATTAAACAATTGCGTAACACACAGTACCGCAACGACAAAATAGGAGGCCCGTATACGGTAATTATATTGGGCCCCTTCTTAGAGTTTATTTTTGTTCTATTTAAGAATCAATTTTTGTAGGTTTTAAAACACGTTTCACATCAGTTAGTATATATATATATATATGTATATATATCAAACTAAATATCTATAACTGTTGTACATTATACTTCACTATATATTTATGTAGTAAATTTATTTAAGTAGTTTAGGTAGGTAAGTTGTATGCCTACTCAAATACTCAATGGACTCATTGTTAAATATTATATTATTCTAAAATGTTATAACAATCTTACCTGAATTTTAAAAAATTTTCTTTTTATTATTAAATAATTGTGTGTTTGTAAAGTGTAGTTTATTTCAGTCTGGGACTAGGGGGCCCCCCCAAATATATGTAAACCTTGGTTCCCGTTTGCGCGGCACACACTGCACGCCCGGTTTTTGCGACACTGGTAACAAGTGATTTTTTCAAATTATCGCATAACGAATTCTCGTATCGGGAGAAACTTCTTTCCTTGTCAGCGCTTATTAGTGCGTAGTAGATCAGATGTTTTCTGTCGATCTATTTATATACTCGACGATTTTTTAGAGAACCCTGAATTTTTTTTGTATTCCTGGCTAAGAACGTGGAATATATTATTACGGCATGGTTTTTCACGACCATACTAGCATTAGGGAGATAAAAAAAGCGTTAAAACCGCACCGAAATCAATAGAAATAAGCGTCAACGGAAAATACGTGATTTTAACGTATAACTTCACCGCCCGAATAAAATCACACGAGTAGGTACACGGGTTACGTGCGCGGGCAAGAAGGCACGATACGGGGTGAACGATAGGTTCGGCCCGCGTTGAATTTCTGGTCGTTTTTTTATTTTTAATAATTTTCGTTTTGTTTTTTTTCACCGTCCCTCCACTAATCGCGCTCACGTTTCCGCAGAACCTGCACGCCGATCTGGAAAAATGCGAACCTCGCGTGGTCTCGCTGCTGGAAGCGGCCGACTGGCTGCGGCAGGCCAACGAAAAGACGGGCGCGGCGACGACCAGACGGTCTGACCAAAGTGTCGCGGACTGCCACGCAAGGCTGTCGCACCTCCGGGCCCGGCTGACCGCGCTGGTGCGCATGACGGCCGGCCACGCGACCAGACTGGGCACGGTGCTCGGCTACGACGTCTCGTCGGAGGACAACGTCTGCGCGAGGCTGCACCAGGTACGGTATTGTAACGGTACAAACAACGAACGTTGCGCCGCGATACGCAGGGGCGGAACTAAGGGTTGGAAGACGGAGTATCGTCCCCGGGGCGGCAAATTTTTGAGGATCGACATATGAAATAAAAAATATAGAATTATAATTTTCCTTCTATGACTGTACAACTCGTAATACATATTATTGCAATTGCATATAATAATTTTTATTTTGAATCGTAATTTTCTTCGTAATCGTCTTTACATACAGACGTATCGCGGCCGCCAACGCAGAAACACGTATTCTACGGCACGTCGTACACGCGACGGGTCTTATCGCGTTCAACTTGTTTCTCCTTCTCCTTCGATTATTATAATTATCATTATTGTTCACTCATTCGTAAGCCGCGTATCTATTAATCGATTTGTTCGATTAACCGGTACAAAAATAATAATAATACCAGTTTACCATTGTTACCATTATTAAGTACTGTTTTTATTTTTTCATCCTCACGTGACCCGACCAAGGCGTGTGCGTACACATCCGCTTATCATTCATTTCCTACAATATTATATTTATTTGTACATCACATCGTATGGCTTGTGATATTACTACTATTGTGTAGGGCGTAAAGTTGACTGCTGCCGCCGAAACAATTGACATTTATGGTACAGGAAAACAATAATCTACATTTATTGTGTAGTTATACTTACAACAATTTTTTTGTATGAATCATAATTATTGTTTATTTTTTTTTTTTCATTTCTACTCTTATTTTCAAAACACGTATTACTATCATTTCGTATATCTAGTTTGCACGTTTTTTTTTTATTATAATTTGTTGTTCCCGTTTTAAAGGTGGACGATACGAGCACTGTTATGAATCGATCCGACGAAGAAGAACCAAACACAAAGTAAATATCTCTGCACTTTTTTAATTAGTATTTTTATTATTTTAAAGACACTTTTTTTTTTTTTTTTTTGCTTATCGATAACACATTAAATTAAAATAAAGATACAATTAAACAAACATTATTTATGTTTAAACAAAACTACGTGAACTTAATACCGTACAACAAATGCAATCAAATATTTATTATTTTATCTTTTAGTCGTATACGAGTTTTTAGCGACGAACATCTTAAAATAACCATTACAACTCTTCAGCTGTTTCAATAAACTCTGAACTCGTCATACTGGTATATATATATATACTTATCTTTCAAAGACACTTTATTCCCACATGGATGTAACCAGTCCATATTTAGAATTTGGACGCATTACAAGATTTGTATTTTCAACTATTTCCGTATTACATACTTTTAAACAATGTTACACACTGATTCTTTTCAAATTAAATTAATTTCATTCGTTTCTAATATACATTTGAAATTTTAATTTATTTAATTTTTATGAAAGAAATATTTCCTGGGTTATCTCAATAGTTACTATTTACATTAAATTGATTGAATTTAAATTTTTCAAATTTAAATCTTAAAAACGATTCATTAAAACAATATTATAAAACGAAAAAAAAACACTTTAATCACTGTTGTGCATGTGGTTGGCGAATGTACTTGATAAACAAAATACCTAAACTGCCTTATTTATTTTCACTGGATAATTATCATTTAATCCGGAAGTCAAAAGACGAAAACGTTGCCAGTCGTGTACACAGGTCGCGAGGACAAATACGCACTGTGATCGTCACCAGTACTCGGACGAAACGATTATGTGGACTCCACGACATAACTAAATCTGTGTATTTTCCGTATTGCACTAACTACGTGGTTTTACAGTGTTGGCGGCAATGAGACCGTATTGCGGCGAGGCTACAGGTTCTTCGGCCGTGTGATGCGTGCGTCCTTGCCGTTCCAGGTGCTAATGCTGCTGGTCCTGGGCGCCGCCTCGCTAGTGCCAATTGTCGACGAGGAGTTCAACTGCATGGAGTCCAACAACATCGCCTGGAGTCTTTACCCGTTGCTCCGATACCCCGGAGGACCACCGCCAACATAATGACCACACGACATAACGTTCAACACGTTGCTGACGATCAATGATTACTGTTATTATTTCTACACACAAATTCAAATTATTATTATTATTATTATTATTATTATTATTATTATTATTATCATCATCATCGTTATTATTATTATTTTTTTTTTTCATGATTATTATTATGTTTAATTTATATACAATACCAATGTACCGTACCAATGTCATGTTTTATGGTTTTAAGAGTTAAATTTGAGTGTATCGATTGTATATTTATTTTTAAAATTTCGAAACAAACTACGAGACGTAAGACCAGTCGATGTTAAACAAACGCTTTAAACATTTTAAAAAGTTAATTTCATGAAATCGTTTTTCAAATAGTGTCCCAGTATCAGTAGTATCTTTTTATAAAACAATTTTTTTTAATAACCAAACGTGACCGCCAAACGATTGACAGTAATTAATTAGTTGATAAAATTTAACCAATATTTTATCTACGATAAGACGTTTAATCAAAATAAAACCATGATGATATCATGACGAGACTGTCGAAGTACAGGGTACAAAAAAAAATAGACGTAAATAGTTAACGAATAGTTTAAAAAATATAACGTTAACTGTGTTCATTGTTGAAAAAAAAATACATAAATTATTATTATGAAAACATGATTTATATATGTTTAAAATTACTGTCAATTTATTTTTGGTACAATACACACCATATTTTATATCATTTAATATCTAACGTACAATATTTCCATTAAAACCAATTGCGTCCACAAAATAACAATCATAGTTTGTTTTATTAAAAATGATTAAAGCGTTGTAGTTCTTTAGATTAACTATAATATAATTACATTAATACAATAATTGCTTAACATTTATATTTTAACCCTACTAACTCTTAAATTACTATTTATAAATAAAATATATTTTGACTAATGTTTAATTTTAAAATAATTTTGTTTTATTCTTGAATTTTTCATATTAAATAATACACACGAAAGTTAATACATAAAAATTATATTATTTTGTTAAATTTAAGATTAAGATTTTTAAATTTTATATAAATCTATATTATTATAAATGAGTATAATAAACATTAATGTTTTTAAAACGAATGTTTTCAGATAAATTACTATTTTATTCAAAATATGATACATTTTAAGTTAGGTCTGTAAGATACACACAATTGGATGCACTTTTGTCTTTCCAATATAAATTTTACCATCAAATTATAAATACTTAAGACATTTATTAAATGCAAACTATGATCAAGAATTACATTTCTGGAAGAAAAATATTAATCTATTCCATTTTCCAACTATATTGTTAAAAAAATTAAATCATTAGTGGTTTTTACGGATGTTTCCATGTCAAAATAATTATTTAACGAGAAAACCAATTTTTAATAAAAAATTATAGAATAATTGTTTTCATATAAATGATATCTAAGTACCATTTTTTTCAATAAACGTATGAACTGATCAATCGACATAATTTGTCTGATAAAAAAAAGGTATTAAGGAGTATTACTTATTTCTTTGGTATTTAAGTATTCTAGAGGTCTAATTTTATGACTACTGTTAACTATCTTTTTGTTCTTAGTTTTTAATTTAAATTCTTTCAGCATAATTTCAACTAAAAAACCAAAAACTAAAGTATAAAATATGTAAATAAGTGATGTAATACTAAAAGCAGTGATGGGAATTATTCGACCATTCTAATATCAGTATTCGATGCTACAATACAATACGTAACGAAAATTATTCGTTTAATTTGTCGCGCAACACAAAACGTTTAATAATAATAGGTATTTTAGCATCGAATACTGATATTCGAATAATTCGATTATTCGAACATACATTACATCTCTAATTAAAAGTTGAAAGTATTTTCACGTGAACATGTTGACATTTCTTTTAATTATTTTAAATGTATGCGAAAAAAAATCGTTAAATGTAATAACAATTATTGGGGAGTTATTATTTTGTATTTGTCTAGGTATTTTCAAATTATCAACCCCTGTGAAAAAAGTTCATGCATACGTATTCGCTTGAAATAATTATTGACTCAATAATAGGTCAATAATAAATTTTAGATGTGTATGAAATACAATTGAAAACATCAAGTGTATGCTCAGTTGTATAGAAGCTAAATTATACGTTTCGGTTATTAGAACATATTTTTCAAAAATATTTTAAGTTGGCTATTCGATTAATTTATATATATATAGATAAAGTGTAGAAAAACGACCTCAGTATATCTAACACTAATCGACCACGTGCCGTCGTTATTGTCGCATACAGGTAATTGTACCTCATACAAACATGTATTAAAATTGCCTACACAAAACGCCCTCATATGATAAACATCACATTTTTGCCGATCCAACGTCATGTACCACGATCATTTTAACCATTACGTATGCGTGTCAAAACAATGTCACATACGATACTTCTTTACGAAGTGCTCAAAATATAATATACTAAAAGTATATTCGTAATTAACATACAGGTAAACTTATTGATATAATAAATGAAATTGGTTTATCCATGTTCGAATTCATTTCATCCTTGTCATATTTTCACCATTCACGAATCTAATCAAACTAGGTATTGCGATTGCAGTAGTGATTTGCAGTTGTGTTTATTTGTATACATTTTTTTATATATATACACTACAAAAAATAATAAAGTTACAATAAAGTACAATAAAATTTATATTTTTAATAATATTTTTTTTTTTTCTAAAAAAAGTATGTTTTTAATTTTTTTTTAAAGATTTTACGGTAAATCATTACAGCTCAACGATTACAATATGTACATTTTTAAATATAGACAATAGTACGATATACAAACATTTAAAATTATAAGACAATGAATGATAAATTATTACAAGAAAATTATAAAGATACACATTAAGAATAATTTAAGTGCACCATCAATGAGTATGAGATATAACGCAAGATCAATAAATAATTAAATTATATAATATACGTAATATATTTAGTAATTAATGTCCCAAGTATAGTGGTTTTTATGGAACAGGCATAATATTCAGTGAACATTTATTAAGTTGAGCCATAATAATCTTTGACTGAAAGCTAATAAAAAAAAAAAAAAAAAAAAAAAAATGTATTGAGTAGAGATGTTAAAGTAAGTAGTAGATGATTTAGTATTAATTTAAGATTATCAATAAATTTAGTAATAATTCTATTTGATTAATCCGGTGATGGAGTATTGGCTATAATTCTGAAATATGACACTTTAAGGTTTGAATTAATACTGAAAACAAAGCAATTATTGTTATTTCTGGATGTATAAGTACCCCGATTTCATATAATAATTTTATAAGGTATTCTTTGTAAGAAACTGTATGTTGCTCACTGAATAATGCACAGAATCTGATGGTGATTTCTTGCTATTGCTAGAAATGTGCCCCTCACCGCACTTAACAGCACCATTACACTAACACTGTAACTTGAGTTGAAATAACAGTAATTTGCTGCCTGAAAGTAGTTCTGAAACTGTTTGCACTGAGGTGGAAATATATTTTTCCTTGGGAGCTAAATTTTTATTTTTTAATAAAATAAATGGTATAGTTTAAAAATTGCATTGTTGCTATCTTCGATCGAAGTAGTGACAAATTAAATTTCGTGATACGGTTCATGATGTTCGTGACACGAATCGCATCATAACCTTGGTTTGCTAAATTAGATTTTATGTCTTTTGGATTGGTGATAGGGTGAATATATCAGATAAAAACTCAAACCTGTGTTTCTGAGTTGGACATAAACGTATGGAATTCAATTTATTTTTATTATAGGTTAAATATTAATAAGCTATAACATAGTCTATACAAACAGCATAGTCACTATATTGTAACTATCTGCAGTCTTTGTGCGAATAATTAAGTATTTTGAAATAGTAACATAAGAGGCTGATAAGGTCTGATATTTCCTTAGTGAAAGTATTATAATTATACCTTCTAGTGCGAAAACACGCGATAGTGACATAAACTACATAATTAAAGACGATCAAAATATGTATTACCGTCATAGCGGTTATGGAATAACTGAAAAGCGGTTTTGGGAAATAATTATAAAACTATAATTTCGGCAACAACATTTAATTTCAGTAATAAAACTGATTTATTTATTTCAATAAAATGTGTAATTTCAAGCGTTATGACTAAACATTATACTAATACTATAGACTTATAAAGAACCAATTTTAACTAGTATTTGAACTAAAAATTTGGTTCAGTTAATTTTTTTTTTTTTTTTTTTCATTTAAATAATTTTAATCCTGAGAACTATTAATAATTTACAAAAGTTTATTAGAAATGTGTATAAATTATTAACTATACAATCACACTTTAGTCAGGATATGTAATTTCCAATATTGTGAAATATAAGCATATGCATTCATCGCTTCATATTTCTATTAATCTTCTATTTCAGTTTCTAAAAAGTAAGTTCCTGTTTTGCTAAAATGAAATAAAAATGTTATTTTATAATGTCTACATAAAATAGCATTATTAAATTAAACTAACTATAAATACGAACTTTTTATCTACGTGTTCACCCATAAAAGTAGTATCATTATTTTTGCACTTTTTGTTTTTGTAATCATCCCAACTGGAACAGTTTTGTGCAACATAATCTTCTTTAGCCCATATCGAATGTGCAAAATAATGATAAGATTTAATATGGCTGCATGAACCGGTACCTACGAACAAATTATATTAATTAACATTAATATTTATAATAACTATAATTACAATTGATATATTGATTGATGTATTGATTACAATTTTGATTTATGGTTGAAAACCAATATTTATAAAAACATTTTAATCTTAATAAAATACAACACTACTTATAGGTAATTATTGATTATTTATTGTGCTATTTACAATTTACTACATACTGTGTACTATTTACTATACTATTTACTTAATATTACGTACTTGTTTATCGATAATGTTTTATAATATTTATTTAAGTTGTTTGATAAGGGTTTTTAGCTGTAATATCAATGTGAAACGCACATTAATTTTTCACAATAATTAATAATAAAAAAATGTAACTATCTATAATGCAATACCAAAGAAGCGAACATTAAACTTATTGGTGTATTAAAATTAAATGCCAATAATTAATGTCATCATTTTTGAATGTACAGAATATTAATTAAGTACATTTAAATAAAATAATAAATTGAATGGTGAATAAGTTGTGTTAGTCTGTTAGTTGAAACCAAACCATTAAATATTATTTTCAAATATCTTACGTTTATCCATCTTTCCGCAGTTTGGTTGTGACTTTCCTCCATTTGGATAAATATCTATATGGCCCAGTGCTTCAAAAAGCGCATTTTGATCACCATTTGTATGAATAATATCCACATACTGTGCATCAGTAAAGTCAAGTCGGTCTTGCGGATCACTTTTTTCGTACATTGGTTTTGCAGGATCTAATCCTATAATTTGAACAATTCATACCAAAAACCATTAATGAGGAGATTATTGGAGTTCAGTTAAAAGTTATAAACAAAATTGAATGTTTGTGAAAATTATATAGATATTATAAATATTGTTAAATGATAAAGTTTTAGTTCAAATGTGATTTCTGTGATAACAAATTTATAATTATGTGATAAAAAAAATAATATATTTTATATCTTGACCATACTTTACTGGTATTGATCTACTTGCCTAAAATCATTATAATATTATAACTGTGTTATGGATGATGTGGTACGGAATTTTAAAATTTCTATTCTAAAAGTATTTTACAAAAGTTTTCATTGACATCAAAAGTTTTTCTCCGATGTAATTATTTGAAACAGTACAAGTGAATTATTGGCAATGGCTAATAATGGCTACACCACTGAATCCGTCAAATTGTAATACTTAGTAAAAGTTAAAAGGAAGAGAAATCGCATTTGAATTTCAAAGAACGATACTATGTGATACATCTAGAAAGTAAAACGAGAGACACAATTGGATAAACTTCGAACATTCCAACGCTTATTGGACCATGTTTAAGAAAATATATGTACGATGGAGGGAGACGCTATTTGTGATACTTAGGCAAAAATTATAATTAGTAAAGATAAAATATAGAATATCGCATTGTGATAACTTTATTTAAGGTCAAATAGTGACAAAAAGTAAGTTTCAGCAAGCCTGATGAGGTTTTCCACCAATTTTAAGAAAATAAAATGAGAACCGAATGAAGATATAGATATATTTAACTGTTACATTATTATCTACCATAGACATACCTATTTAATGAAGTCATAGTTAAAAAATGAATAGAATGCACGTCAAGTATTTGTATTCACCAATAGCCGACAAATCCAATGTTAGATAAATCAATCATTTAAATAATATTATTCGTATATTTTCATGATATTTTTCATGTACAACGAATTTGTAATTGAATAAAATTTGAAATTTGAAATGTACATCCCATTAATGATATAAATGGTATTAGAATTACCTGTAATTCGAGGAACTAGATTTGTCAATATTTTTCCTGTGAAACCAACGATGTGAGCTCCCAAACTGTGTCCTATCAAATGCATATCTGCAGTACCTTCCGTCATATTTTTCGTTATTCTTGACACAACTCTAGCTATGTCCTTTCCAATGTGCTTAGCCCTTGCCTTTGCAATAGCGTAGGATAAATCAGTTGAATATTGTTTCCAATCAACACAAATCACGTTATAATTACCCACTTTAAAATAGGCTGTAAAATATAGCACGGAATTTCGTGGTTAAAAAAATTATTTTTTTTTTAAACAAGGATTTATTTAGACATAGTGAATATATAAACAACCAATCACTAACATCTAAAATACTTTGTAATTTAAATTCGTAATTTTCAACTTAATAATGTCAAGGACAAAAGCCATTTTTTATATCAAGTGTAATTTACCAACTTACATTTTATATTTATTGAACAAAGACCCTCTTTTTCTTGGGTAGTACCCAGCCAACCGTGCACTATAAGTTTCATTGGATTTGCTAAATCATATGTAGTTGATTCTATCATACGTGGTTCACTTCTATTTAAAAGTTGACCGTCGGTTTCGTTACTTGAATAAAAAAAATTAAAAACTCATGAGTAATACTTTGGTAATAGTAGGTTATAGTTAGTCAATAGATTCATTAAAAGTTTTAACCTCGTATAAAGCCAATAAAACACGTGTTTTGAAGTATTATATAAACTATTGGAATTTTGATCAAAATTGATTTCGTTATACTCATCCAGCTCCAGAGAAGTACTTTCAGACACAGAAGGTAATTCTATAAAAAAATTTTGGATTTAATTATCACTTAAAAATATGTTTTATTAACATATAATAATAATTTTTAATTGTCACTTAAATTTAAAGTATTTAATTTCGTTAATATTATTCAAAACAAATTTTCGAACACAGATTTATTAATTTAAATCATAAACATTTCCGTAAATATTTTTTTGACATAAAAAACTATATACTTATTAAATAAATAGTTTAACATTTCTACGTTCGAACATATTTCGAGGTATAGAATAATTATTAAAATTACAACAACAAACCATATAAAATATTATATTTATTTATGTCAATAATTAGCAAATACCACCAAAATATTAAAAACTCAATTTATTAAAATTCTATCATTAAATCCATACTCTTTAAAAAAATTAGTGTTAACAAATTTCTCCTGCCCAAAATTCGAAAACAATAAATAACAATATTTACGTTGACATACCGTTAATGCAATATAGTAACCAAACTATATGTGTAAATTAAAATTTGAATACAAATAGTTTTTAAATTTTCTAAGATTTTAAAAGTACACTTAAAAAGCTCCAAAATAATGATATTTATGATACATTTGTTTACAGTAATATTTCGAAGTTTATTTGTATAATGTTAATCTATGTAGAATCAAAAGATTTAATTTATTGTATTATCAAGTATTAAACTAACTCATAAAACTTCAATTCTCTAGGACAAAAATCTCTAGCTACTACTCCGTTGTAATTCTATTATATTAACCTAATTTTCTTCACTTATCATAAGTTACATTTTCAATGGCTTGCAACGAAATATGATGACGTAATAAGGTAATCTATAATTACTTAGATTAACAAATATGCTCATATAAACAATATATTAGCAGAATTTATTTGTTAGAATCAACACTATGTACGATGCAGTAGCAGTATAAGACAAATAATAAATCGTAGAATTTAGATCCCAGAATTATTTAATTTTAATTGAAATTTATATTTTATAAAAATACAACACTTACCTACTCGTATTTGATGCACAAAACTATGAATACAAATAATAATAGTCAACCAAATGTATATAAAATAGTTACTTAAAATAATAAACATTTTTAAATAAAATAATGTTAATAGTTATTGACTTTAGTTAACCGAAATACCTTTAAGACAACTAAATAAGAACACTTAATAATGAATTCAATTTAATAATAAATTGAAAACACTTATATTCAATGTAGATACTAACCAATGACATTTGTTTTTATAAAATGTTTATTAAATAAATACTATTCAGATAACGTTGTTGGATTAGACACTATATTTTACTGTAAATGGTTCTAAACCCGAAGGCATATAATTTTAATCACTAGTTTAAAGTAGCTAATATGGGGACACTATAAATGATACGTAACGTATTAATTTTATTCATAATTTTTCACACATGAAATGTCTGTCTTTGTACGCTTTGTTATTTAAATACAAAATAAAACATATACTGCTTATTTCGCAGTATTTCTTCTGTTGTGAGCCTATACATCAGGGATGAGCAACTGGTGGCCCGCGTATTTTTTTTGGCCGTGCTATCATTTCAAATCACTTCATAAAATTATAGTGTTTATCAGTATTTAATTTTATCACTTTGATCGTAAAATATAGATATTACTTTTTCTCTAACATTGAATTCCAGCTAAATCATTAAAGTACTAAGTATAATGTATATCTATATCGGTAGGTATAGCTAACATAGCTATAGGTGTTAGGCACTTATTTTATTGTAATAATTGAGTCGTAAAATTAAATTGTTTAAAGTAAATGCTAATGGTCAATTTCAATGACCTTTTATCATTTTTAATTTTTTTTACTATGGCCTGCCAGATTTGAAAGTTCTAAAAATTGGCCCTCTTATTACTTTGAGCTGTCCATCTCTGCTATACATTATAAATTGTTCGAATCTTGGATTATTTATATTCTATGTTATTTTAAACTCTAATTAAAAATATTATTTAATTTAATTTACATTTACATTTACATTTTGTAAATAACATTTTGAAATTTATAAAATCATCCAAATTAATGTCTCTGATAACCTATAAGAGTACATAGGTTCAGTGGCGTATGCAAGGGGGGGATTAGAGAGTCAGATCTCCCCTTGGCCTTTTTTTAAATGTTATAAAATAATGTTCTATATGTGAGAGCATTAGAAACGTAAAAAAAAATAATGATTTGTTTGCAAATACCCCCCCCCCCCATACAAAAGTTATGTATACGCCACTGCATAGGTCATTGCATATGTCGTAAGAAAATACACCAACCACCTAAAATATTAGAAACATTCAAATATAAAACCAGGTGGAAATAAAAAACAACTTTTATGTCCCTCAAACATCAAAGCAACATACATTTAGTTTTTTATTTTCAAAACGAATTGACTATTCACACAGTTACTACATTGTGAACTTACGCGTATAAAAATAACATAAATTGTCTGGGTTAATTTCTTCGAAATAATCTTGTGTAATGACGAGATACTGATGAAAATTTAGCCAGCTATTTTAAAAAATCTTTTTGTGTGTGTTATTATAAAACAAATCTAAAATTATTAATATTGCGTGTATAGGACGCAAAATATTTGAACAAACAGGATAGTTCTTTTTTTCAATTTATTAGTCGATGTGGATTTACAGCTTGAAAATAAAATGTATTTTAATAATGTTCCATAATATATCTTGATAATGAACATTTTATTACTGTTCAATCGAAGTGTTTTATTGTAAATAGTTTGGTTTAAAGTCAAATATAATAATATGATAATTAGAAATCAATGAATCTATATTTTAAGCTTTTTAACTCTCATTACGTTAAACTATTATCTTTTATGTTACATAACATTTTAACGCAATGAAAGTGAACCTACGTAAATATTGACCATTTTTAAATGAGTTCTAAAAAAAAAAAATTTTATATTTGTCTGCAGGATACAGATAGGAAAGAACAATGTAATAATACTTCATTCACTAAATGATTTAAATATATTGATTTAAATATTTGCGCACATAACATATTCATTTTTAAACATTATAAAACAATTTCAACACTATTAGCATACGTAATTATAATGTTTATAAAATCATAACATAAAAACGATTAAGTACAATTTTATTAATACTAAATTGATAATAAACATAATATTATAGGTACATATGAATTATAAATAAAAAGTTACACAAATATTTTAACTATAAATGCTGAACTGGTTATAGTTAGAAAATAATTAAATTGATAAACAGACAAGTTCACAATCAATAGGTATTCTTAATTAATATTTTCGTTAATTATTGATGCTATGACTCTGATCTTATTTAATCGCTAAATAATAATTACCTGAAAAACTATACAAAAATAAATAAATAAATGTTTTAATTGAAATCCCAGGTAGTTTTTGTGTTGGAAAAGGGTTCGATATACATATATATACATAGAAACATGTTATGACACGTTATTAGTATAATTATTATTTCAAAACGCTTACTTTGAACTCGCGTACTCGCCCATGTAAGTAAAATCATCGTAATCTTTACATGTAGACTTCTTGTAGTCCTCCCATTGTTCGCACCGCACTGCTTTGAACGACTCGTCGCCCTCGGACTGAATAGACCGAGCGTAATATTCGTAGGACTTATAATGACTACAGACCTCTCCGAAAACTAAAAGACAAAATGCAAATCATAGGTTGGTTGCATGAAATTTCTCTTAAGATGTTACCCCGGTACGCGATACGCACAGTATATTCCTCTACAGCCAGGTTGTCTCGTGTAACCACCGTTGGGATAAAAATCAATTTTGCCTATCGGTTTGTGCTCGCCCAGTAGGAAACTCGTTGTGTGCACTACGTCTACAAATGTCGCGTCGTTTTCATTCAGCCTTTCACTCGGCATTCTACTGAAGAACAAAGGCCTTGCGGGATCCAAACCTGAAGAATTGTAATAAGACAATGTCCAATTAGTGCTGAAAACAAATACATAAATATGTATACACGGACAGGGTTGTCCCAACACTTTGCGAAACCTTGGGCAAATATGCAAATATTTTTTTTCGGGCCAATCCACCAACACCGTTGTCAAACCTACATCTTGATCAATGATAAATGTATAAACTAAAAATTTATTTTATTCCTTCAAAGTTTCTCAATTCCATTTTTAACGAAATACCTCCTAAAAACATATACACCAGTGCCCACATATTCATACATGTAATGTAGCTAACTAGAGCAATCTGATTATAGAATTGAAAATACTATTATGAACATCTAAATGAAAATAATTAATGTATATAAACTATAATAATTAAATATGTTATAATATTCAAGAACATACAATACTACATCATAACTTTTCTTGATTTATTTCCAGCAAACGAGTCTATTATATATAAATAAATAAACAAATATTTTATACATATAAGTAAATAAATAAATGCTTAGCCTGGGGTATTATTTTATTTATAAAGTTAAACCGGTTTTGAATTAAAAATTTATCGTCAGGTTAAAATAAATAAAGTCAATAAAATAGCAAATAAATAGGAAAAAATATAGGAAAGAATACAATGAAAAAAATTGGTTGTTTTATATAGAAATAATTTATTTTTAAATATAAACAATTTTTATATATCTATTAATTTAGGAGTATTAACCATTTACTAATTTTTTATTATTTTAGAATATTTAATGTCATCATATTCAATACTATTTTCAATTTGTTTCTATTGCTATGATTGCCAAGTTTATAGTTTTTTCTTGTGAATTTCACCAACGATCGTTCAGCTGTAGCTGTAGTCATTGATATAGTTAATAATATCCTTAATGCTATATAAATATGATTAATTAGAATATATGTCATCAGCACTGTATTGGAGAACTTCTTTTTAAAACTTGTAGAGGTGAAGTACCTTTGACAATAATTTCTGATAAAATTACTAGTTCCTTGTATAGTTTTTTCCATAAATAACTTTAGTCTCATCCACTTGTAATAATATCTGAAGATCCATACAATGTCTTATCAAATCTCCTTTATTTGTTTCAAAAATACTTTTAATATCATGTATGAAATTAAAAAAAATCATCAAACTCTTTCAATTATTTAATGTTCTACTTAAAAAAAATCCTTGATCAAGAATTGAGAAAAAATACTAATTTTTAAAATTATCTTCTCAATTAGAATTATAATATGTGAAGAATGAAAGAAGAACTTCCATAATCAATCATTTTTTTTCATTTAACAATTCTTTTACTCGTAAATTTTGTTGATCGGAAACAATTTATCATTTGAAAATTATTATGAAAACATGGAGCCTGTAAATTTAGAGCTAAGCGCAGAGCCCATTCACCCTTCCCTATGAACGGCCCTTTACACGAAACAAGAAAGCTAGAAACAGCTCATTAAATTTAAGATATCAAACATATGCAGTACATTATCAACTTTCATGACGGTCAAACGGGCATCACTAGTTCGTCTCTTATCGCAGTTAAATTGTTCGTGCGTCATGGTAATCGTTTACCGTCTTGACTAGTCATGTTTTTATCGATTATGATAAGTACACTCTTATATATTATATTATATAAAAAATAGTTTGAACTGAATCCGCTATACAATATCTGAGAATATTTGTTCTAATAATAGTTATTATATATTTCAATATGAATAAATCACCGTCTATTTAGTCTGAAGCTAAACATGATTATTCACTCACGAATATCATGAATACCTTGAAAATTGTACAGAATAATATTCAAGCAATTAAAATTAAATTGTTAACTCGGGAAAATACGTCATCGAACATTTTAGCTCGAATAGATAATCTTACAAATAAAATAACTCCTTTGAAAAAAAAATTAAGATTTAAAAAAGGATGTTAATTATCTCAAAAATAATTCTCGTACTCCAACACAATTGTTAGACTTCATATGTGATATTTCTGGTATTGATTAATTTGATAAAAACCGAGAAATAAATGATAAATCTAGAATCTTTTCATAAGAACTTTTAATATGGATGAATTCAATTGTAATGAAAGGAAATTGACCGTTGATCTTATTAAGAACTCAAATATAGATGTTAGCATTTCATCAGTTGTCAGGCTAAGAAACAATCCAATAGACCTATTAGAATAATTTTTAATTCTACTCAGGCGATCATAGCAGTTATAATATCTAAAAAGTCACTGCTGGATGTTCATCATAGGAAAAATTAATGGACTACTACGGATCTAACAAACCATCAAAGGAAGATTTTATCATCATTAATGAAGAATACATAATTCCTCAGATGTACCACAAGATACTGTTCTCTCTCTACTTTTGTTTCCCGTATTTATAACCTTTCATCCTTCACCATGCAATGCTCCTTATCTTTGCAAAATATTTTCTTCCTAATCAAATTTATCTCTGACTGTCATCTTCTTCAAAATCACCTTCAACAATTAGTGTCATGAGAAGAATTCTCAAGACTTGTTTTTAATATCCCCAAAATTCTCAGTAATGACCTTTTATTATACTAATAATTGCATCAATTATATGTACTCCGTCAATAATATCCTTTCAAAAATGTCGAACAACTCAGTAATGGTTCTAGGTTTACCCTTACACGGAATCTATGACCAAATATTTATATCCAGACAATATATTGTAAGGTTCTTAAGTTGCTGGGTTTCATAAATCGCGTTTCAACAGAATTTCACTTGATCACTCCATTAAAAACTCTTTTTTGTTCCTTAATTTATCCCATCCTTGAGTCTGTTCTGTGGTACCCGTCCACTGTCTCTGTCCTTAATATGATGAAAGGGTCCAAAGAAAATTTTCTGTCTCACTGCTTATAAACTGAATATACAGTGTCCACCCCATGACTACACAACAGTACATCTGTTATTCTTATAATGTCTTTCCGATCGTCGACACTCAGTAAATAAACTATACCTGTCTAATCTACTTTTCTCAATAATAGACAACCCTAAATCACTATTCCGAGTTTCTTTCAATCCTTCCACATTCCATTATCTTCCTCTTTCTTCTACCTTAACTCTCCAATCATCCATCTAATTCGCATTGCCAATACCTTCTTCTACCAATCCTTCTTTCTCCTTTTAATAAGAGCTTAGTTTCCGTAAAGCATTTCATTTTTATTTATATCTTATCTGTAATGGTCTCGTCCCATAATGTAAAAATATAAAATAAAATATTTCTATTTTTCCATGCATTATAATATTTATTCTTTTTTTTAAAAAAATAAACTACATGGTAATTCATTAAAACTACAAAAGTTTGTTTAACCGATATATTTAGATGAACTTTTTTTCCTACTCATACTACGCTCGATCATCACCGCAATCTATTAAAATGTATCTTTTTTTTTTTACAATAAATATATGATATTATGTTTCGTGCGTGAAATATTGATCAACAAATAATTGTTTACACTAAGTTTTTATTGTTTTATATAATTGATCACCATTTAAAACGTATTATTGTGATTTTATTATTTATTAAAAATAAATTATTTTTAACTAATTGTTAATTATTATTATTATCAATGACAGTGATTTTTCATTTTATACAACGCCATTACTTTTAACCATTACCAACGGCTTTTTCCAAGACGCGCAACTAAAACTCGATTGATTCCAAATCTGGTTTTCCCAACGGCGTTTTCGATGCATATGTACACACTCATTTACATCACAAAACCAATACATGGTTTACGTGTACACAGTATTACATATTACAACGTTGTATATCTATTGTTCGGGATTTTGCGTATAATTTCAATTATGAGGATTAGTGTATAGTACATTTCATTTTTCAATACCAGTAATCCTTTGCAGTCGGCCGTCGAACCGTTTGCCAACGTATCCGGCAATATGAGCACCCATACTGAAACCAATGATGTGAATATCGTCGACGGTCTGAGCCGAATTATCGACCAACATCGATACCAGGTCGGCAACGCAGTTCCCGATTATCCTGCACCGTAAACGAGCCGTGATGTACGGTAAGTCTATGGCCAACACGGCCCAGTCGACGCACACCACGTTGTAATTGCCGGACTCCAAATATTCTGGAAAAACAAACACCCGAGAGAACGTTAGCGTTTAGGATATTGTTAACGGTGCCGTTTAAACGGTTAGATGAAGCGGATTCAATTTTTCAATCAATTACGACACACACATCGTTTTCCGATCCTTACGGACCGACGGTAAAGGATCTTCATCAACGCGTCGGCGATTCGGACATCACGTGTTCGTGATATCAACATTTATACGGTGATGGAATTCGTAACGGCCGGTCCGTCCCGAGAACATGAGTGAACCGGCGCAATTCTTTAATTATTATAATTGTACGTCCAGAAAAAATAATTCGCTCGACAAGACCACCCCCACAACATTATATTATTCCGGCTACAACGACAGAACAAGGAACACGCAGTGACCAACAATCATTATCAATCGTCCGACCAATTCGTACTCGGGGCATATCCTATACATAAATCTTATGTTTTACATATTGTACCCGTTCGTTCTATCTACATTACACGCGCTGTACCGCATCATGCGACAGACAATTGGTTCGATAATCGAGTTGGAGGTGGTGTAGCACGCGCCCTACGAACGTATTCTTCCGTTGTTTTCGTCCGGACCGCTTAGTCATTTTTACTCGGTTTCGACCGGTGGTGGTCAAACGGGGTGAGATGTAGAGGTAGGATCCCCCCCCATGACCTTTTTTTCAATATTGATATTTCGTGCGTATTAAGCCTAATACCTATAATATAAGTATTAATTTATTTTCTAATTTTATTTTTTCTAAAAATATGAATAATCTTCTATGGTAAATTTTTACAGTATACCTATGTCTTACGACTATATTTTATACATTGTGTCATTGTGTATAGTATAATAATTATTATTATCTACTATCTAGTCTCTCATGTCTATGAATTAAGCTATTAGTATTATTTAATTTTACTAAGTTGTCTTTACAAAATATACCGGAACTACTTCACCGGTAATGAGAATATATGATATCAAGTAAGAATCAACACTTTCCTCTCCGTGCATACCGATGTCGATACGGGCTATACCGTATTCGTATTTTGTAGCTACCGCTCAGCTATTAGTCGGTTTATTTTGACTTATGACTACAAAGTGTTAATGTCACCAAGTTGTAGACGTTATAATTGTTATAGTTTGTCGTTCAGCTACAAATAATGTTAACATCATTCATTATGAGTTCTAAAAGAAAAGATGGCTCAATGTTGAATTTTTTTTTTTCAAAAAACAAAATTAAAACGATTAGATGATGTTGTCGGTATTGATATCTCTGAACCAGATGTTCCTTTGTCATAAAAAGAGACAGGCAAGACAGTAGGAACAAAAAATCTAAACTCGGTAGGTACCAACACGAATACTTAGCCACTATGGCTGTTCATCATGGGGTTGTCGTCATAACCGCAGACGAAGTACTGGACGAATTGACAACAAAAAAAAAAAAACATCGTCATTCGCGTTATTGCGCGATACGCGAACGCGTACAATAACAACACGCTCCTTGCATAATCGTTGAAGTGTGCGCGACAAAAATGACCTCGGTCGATTTTACACGGTGTTTGCGCCACCGTGCGTTTGACCACGAATAATTCACACGGACGCTAAACGATGCATATTGCTTGCAATACCAAAGTATGTTTATGATTTAATAAATCGTGACGGTGATGTAAACGAACGTCTTTAGCAGACGCGTGGACAGAATTTTATTCAATAATAAATCCGAAACAATCAGTCAGGGCATATTTATAAAGTTATAAGACATCGCCGTTTCACCACTGGGTCGAAACCCCCTTGTACAGAATATATTATTAAATAAATAATAAGCAACTCGATCACCCAACCGTTGGAGAATCACCACCAAAGTATTACGAGGCAGGACTCCTCTCCTTACGGTGCGTGGATTTCGGTTCCACTAATTCCCGCCACCCGAAACCAGAACCTTTCACAGTAGTAAATAATTGCCATTACAATTTTCATCCAATTGAGATATAAAAACCATTTGTTTTTTCAACTACCTTTGAAATTAAAAATACATTGTTTACATTTAAATGATAAAGAATTACCATTCATGAGCTGTTATGGGATAATTTAGGGAGGGAGGAGGGGGGTAAAACTTATGGATACGAGTCCGATCTCGAGAACTGCAGATCGTATGAAAAATGTCAGTAAACTGGATCATACCAAGCGAAGGTTAATTATTGCGGTGCCAACGAAATTAATCCGTTTTCGATCATCTACACAGCTTAACGTTGTAATCAATTGACCTATACATGATAATACCTATTATTGGATTTGCACCATTAATCTGACCAATACGGAGAAAAACATATGATCGCAATCGATATTTTATTTTACGTTGACGATTTGAATTGACCGCAGAGATAATATGCCCAGGGCTGGATTATGTTCATAATATGAAGGGCCTATTCATTTTAGTGAGGCCTTTTTACAAAAAAAAATTTAATTTTTTTTTTCAGTTATTTGTAACAAATATTAATTAAAATAAGTTTAGTTTATCTGTATATTGTTTAAAATCATAATAACATTTTATTTTTTTAACATATTTATTTAATGCCATTTAAATAAAAAAAAAAATTGGCAGCTTATTGTGGCTAACCCTTACAACTTGCGATCAAGGTTTGTAGCCCCTCCTTCAAATTTCTCCCTTGATCCAGCCCTGAATATACCCATCATAGAACGTTGGCACCTGTACGCAAAACGATTCGTGGACAAACTCGTTGTCAGACACTTTTAACAAACTAAATTCATACATGTAAAGTGATTTTTTACAACAAGTCATCACGCCAGGTACGTAAAGTTGGCCCACCCTTTTTCACGGATTAACTTGAAACCTATACCAATATTTTGCGAGTTATTTGTGAGAATTTGCGAGTTCATTTTCAAAATTTGCGAGTTATAAATATAAAAACAGAAGGGTGGGCCAACTTCACGTAGCCCTTCCAAGTCGCCCTAGAACTTCAAAACCGATACCAAACGATGCGTCTTTATTTGCGAGAATTTGCTAGTTCATTTTCAAAATTTGCGAGTAAGCCGTTTGCGAGTTATAATTAAAAAACAGAAGGGCGGGCCAACTTCACGTAGCCCACCCAAGTCGCCCTAGAATTTCAAAATTGATACCAAACGATGCGTCTTTATTTGCGAGAATTTGCGAGTTCATTTTCAAAATTTGCGAGTAAGCCGTTTGCGAGTTATAATTAAAAAACAGAAGGGTGGGACAACTTCACGTAGCCCACCCAAGTCGCCCTAGAATTTCAAAATTGATACCAAACGATGCGTCTTTATTTGCAAGAATTTACGAGTAAGCCGTTTGCGAATTATAATTAAAAAACAAAAGGGTGGGCCAACTTCACGTAGCCTTTCCAAGTGGCCCTAGAATTTCAAAATTATTTAACATTTTTAATTTTATTCAAATTATTTCCAATATTATAATTTTCAGATTATGGAATTAAATTATTATTATGGAATCTTAAAAAATTATTTTATCTGCTAATTCATTTTTACGAAAGGATCTGTGGCGGCTCGTGTGCTCTTGCACCTACCCAAATTCCAAAAAAAATTGAAAACATAAACCATATAATACAACTAAATACCTGTAGTGTTTTTAAGATTATTTTTCAAAATTCAAATTCAAAATAGTATGGAAATAATATAATATTTAGATTGGGTTATTCCAAAGGCTACACGAGCAGGCGGTTGTCCGCGACAGAACAGTATCGGTGTGTGTGTATGTTATAGCGGTGCAGTAGTGCACACTATTGCTGTGCACATTTGTACAATGTAAAAATTAAAACAAGTCAAAACACACAACACGCGTTATAATGGAACTGATGTGCACATTCATTTCTATGCACATAACCATTTAAAATGTTTTCAGCGAATTATTTTCGACATCGCCGCGTTGGTATCGGCATTATGATTTATTTTTACTCTCATTTGATTATTATATTCTGATTATCGACTAAAAATGTTAGTCATTACTTTAAATTCAAAACAACAATCGTGTTTCTATTTACTATCGACCACCGACGTAAAAAAAACAAAAAGCAAAAAACTTTTAACGTTGTATATATAATATTTTTTATAATTTTTTCGGATGTGCTCTACTTCATTAAAAATCCACGAGCCGCCACTGGGAAGAATATAATTTTAATTCTAAAATTGTGATAATATTAAAATTACCTATTTCTTACGTATGAATCTTATTTTCCCTTTTTATACATAGCCCACCCATATTGTTGTGATACTATAAAATGTTTGTCAAATATTAATTCCTAATTCACAAGGATTTTTGAGGGAAGGTTTGATACCCTGAAGTCAATAATTTCTAAAAAAATAATTGGTTTTAGGTATTCATATTATATAACCTTAACAAATTGCAGAAGTGTGTTAAAATAACTAAATATGTATGCCAATGGTTCATTTTGCATGTCAGTTCTTTCTGGAAAATATAATTATCATTATATTTTGTGGTTTAAGGATTTTCAATTTAATTGATCAACAAAATACATAGGAACACCAATTTATTAATGGAGAATAATTAATTTTAAACTATGTAATGTGTAATATCTAGTTCTTGTAACAACTTCAGTTTCTGGTAAAGCTTTTTATTTTAAATCTAATTCCTTTTAGGTTAATCTTATATATCTATTAACACGTTCAATGCCATTGTCGACGGGTAGTCGACATCGGTAACATTACCCGGGTTGCCTTTGTCGACTACCCGTCGACAAATATAGTGTTCACTTTGATGGTTTATAATTTTTACTGGCTACGGGATAACAGTCTGAAATTTATTGTAGGCGATCAGGTTCCTTCTTACGAATCTAACGATACCATTGGTTTTTAATTATATTTATTTTTAGTTTGGATATTTATTTTTCCTCGAAATCACGACGACGTTTATCACCGATAATAATTGTATACCATATTATTATAACTCTGTCGCAATTTGACATAATAAATGGTTAATAATGAGGTTACATCAGTTGCACAACCGCGACATAACAACACGTTAAAACAAATGACGAAAAATAAACAGCTAGAAATCGACCGATTAAATCAAAATAGTTTTTAATAGATAAAACTAAATATAGCTCTTTATTTGGATAACAAATTTAAAATTATATCAAATCATTGTATTATGAAGTGTCTTTAATTGGAAAACCGTGAGTCCTCTGGAAGGTTCTATTGTGTTGCTATAGACCAAGGGTGGCAAACCTATGGCACGCGTGTCAAAAATGGCACGTTGACCAAATTTTAATGGCATGCGCAAAAAATTGAAAATGTACAAAAAAAAATGTTTACTATTTATAAATTGCAATCGTAAGAAATTCAAATAAACTAATTACATATGTTTTAAAAATGACAATATTTCTTATGCTTTCATATTTTTTGTTAACCTATATTCGTGAAAGCTTATTCGCCATAAAAAATGTAATTAAATCGAAGGAAAGAAAGGTTTGGACCAACGGAACAATTGCTGCTTATGTTTCACTAAAAACTTAAATTTAACAAAAATAATGTAATAAATTTGTAATTTTGTTTATAGTCATAGAAAATATAATTTTCTTTGGGCATGTAAACGATTTTCAAAACCTGAAAAGGAAAAATTTGGCACTTGAACCTAAAAAGGTTCGCCACCCCTGCTATAAACTATAATTATAAAAGACGTGTCTACAACTAATAAGTCATAAGTTACATACTCGTAAGTCGTAAATCATAATTTTTAAGTAGGTAAATTTATAATATAATAACAGTAGAAAATGTAAAAATGACCGTTCAAACATATTTAAAATAGTATGATAATTTATTCTTTATATAAATAAAGGATATTATTATTTTATTTTATAAATTTTATTAAAAAAGTAAAATAACAGGTAGAAACAATGGTTTTTGGTAATTTTTTAGAACTATTCAAAAATCACAGTATCTATATAAAATCACCTTTAACCTGTACTGTACTGGTTAAAAATCTGAGAGTAATAAACTCATTTAGGGAAAATATTTTTATAAACTTAGTTTTAAATAAATAAAAAAAAAATTGTTTTAAACAATGTTTAAAACATACGAATAAAATAACAATTAAAAACTGTTTAAAACATAAAAATCATTGTTTTAAACAATTAAAACGTATTTTATGTTTTTTTTTTTAAAAAAAACTGATTTTTTTGAAACCCTAGCTGTGGTGACAAAAGATCTTATCTACAACCGGTTATTACTTTGTTTCCTTTGAAAACGGGCCATTGAAATTCTAGGGCGTGTTAAGTGTGCTGACTTCACGGTAGGAAAATGGAATTTGCGGGTAAGGGGTGAACTCGCAAATTTTGAAAATGAACTCGTAAATTCTCGCAAATAACTCGAAGTTATTATAAGTTAGGTTTCAAGTTAATCCGTGAAAAAGGATGGGTCAACTTCACGTACGTCATCACGTCGGTCGATCGACCGACCTGACGATCGAAAACAAAATTGTCGCATGTGTACCCGTATCGTCAAAATAATCTGTTGAAAGCTAACCTGTGCGAAAGTTGAAATAAGTAAACCCGTTGACTCGATAATAACAGATACAGATTACGTACTTTTTCAAATAAAAAACAAACAAAGAAATCGGTTAGAAATTAGTAGAAAATTATTTGCGTTGCGCGTTGTCAAAAATATCTCCACGGATTATGGGACCCAAATTTCTCATTCAATTTAATAATTTATTAATTTTTTCTTTTATTTATTTATTTATTTATTATTTACTAATACTTATATATATTATATATTACTATAACATTGTACACAGTTGTATTTAAAAATATAAAAATAATATTAAGTTGATTGTAGAATTATGAACAAATGTATGTCATTATGAATATTTATACAACATATAGTTATGTTATATCATAAAAACGAAAACAAGATTTTTTTTAATGGAGGGCATAGAATAAGGAAGGTTGGGAATCACTGTACTAGATGTTTGAAAACTTACCGACCGATCTCATTGACAACGATTTTGACAGTAAATCGTTTCGTGCATGGTGAAGACTTTTGATCCCGCACACGACTCGGGCCTGTACAGATCACGCATTCCCAGTACAACCGAATTTTAGTGAAGTAGTAAGTTTCCTATTTACGTGTAGTATCCTAAATAACCACCAATATTCAGTCGAATACTTAAGTAAACTAATTTGTCGTTTATTATCTATTTAGCATGTTCCGTCAATGTATCATTCGCTAATTAAGAACAGCTAAACGGTTTTAAACGTATATGAAGTACCAGCAGCTAACCCAACCGAGTTAGTTGCCCATCCGGTGAAACGATATTTATACTTACGTTCTGTTAGTTTCAAACTCACTGAACGTCTAAGCAGTGTTGCAGGACAAGGGTTGGATCGTAGGGGTGACTAGGGGAGACTATAACCCTAGGCTGCAAGTTAAAAGGAGCCACAATGTGTAGTATAATTGTTAATTAACAAACATAAAGTACTGTTTTATCGATTAATTGTGACTACTCGTACACCACAATATACACATACGCCCATACTTTACTTATTTTAATTAATATTTATTACAAACTACTAAATCTGAACAAAAAAATGAAGTCGTTTTGGATTAAAGGCCTCACTAAAATAGCCTCCTTAAATTATGACTAGAACGTGGATGTTGTTGCGTTTGCAATTTTTCTTTTACACTCCAATTTATTGCTAGATTTAAAACTGTTGAGTACCATTTTCATGTTTTTTTCATTTTAATTGCAATTTTGTTGACATTACTAATTTTTAAAACTATTTTAACTATTTTATATGAAATACCCATAAAATTGTCATATTAATTTAAGTCTGAGGTATATGATTTATCGATGCATTGTTTATACGATTTTCTAAGTATTGACATTATTATGTGTGTAGTCTTCACGGTAGTTTGTTATTAAAATAATCGTATCGATCACGTCCAATAGGATTATCGGATTTATCGCATTTGCGATCCATACGGACAAGATTACAGTTTAAAATAATTTGTGAAACGTTATTATTTGACGGTATTTTCTTCTTGAGCGAGTCCGTAAATGTTGTGCGATCGTGTTATTTCATTATTTTGAAAATATACCGAAAATGAAGCCGAGTTTTTCCACCGTTTGAAATATACGTTTAGGAATTTGGTGAGAATGTGTTTTCGTACGACGAACTCGTACTATTTTGGAAGTTACGTAAGTCAAAAGTCAATGCTGAACGACGATAAGCGTACGATTTTTTTTTTTTATTGCTTAGAGTTTAAACATTCCGCAACAGTTTGAAAAATAAACGAAGATTTATGAACTATAACGAAACGTCGTTTTTCAATTCTCGACATTTTTCAGTACAGCAATCGATTCCACTAATTTTCACTGCTACAACATCCGCGGGCCCTGACCACGACCATGATCCGGCCCCATTATAGTCGTGAATTCGGAAGGTATTTTTAACGCGAAAAAACCGCTTCTTTTTAAGTAGGTCTGTATTGGAACACATTGGGGCCCGATCTGATCGTTGAACTGCGGACGCGATTCAGAATTGAAAACTTGTAATCCGTCGGATCGCGACTGCGACCGAGCAGCGAAACATGAATTGCGTATTAATTTATCGTTTGCTGTTTTTTTTTTTTTATCGTCGGGGGAGAGGCAGTAAAATATTGGTAAAATACTTATTGGGCGACTTTTGTCCGAACGCAAACACCCACCGGCTTTCAGCATCATGCACACGCTCTCGTAGTCGACGGCGTCACCCAGCCAACCGTGTATGAGGATTTTGGTCGGCTTGCTCCCGTCGAAATCGGACGACGTCAACGTTCCCGGGTCGCCGACCACCAGTTCCAGGCCCGTGTGGTTGTGCGCTCTGTCGACAGAAACGGGTGTCACCAAAACGTCGGGCGGTGTCCGCCCGCGAACGCGCACAGATGGCGCTCGCGTTTCCGGCCCCGGCAACAACGGGTTAAACGCGATCGGCATAACAATTACTGGTGGGAATAATCGAACGAATCGATTATTTAAAATAATCGAATGATTTTAACATTCGAAATAATGGTACCGGACATGTTTATCGTTGAGCAAATCAATTGAATTATTCGAACAAATTGCGTGTTCTACACGTCGCCCATTTGGTACTAAACTTAAAAGTCGGCTCTGTCCATCAGTATTGTATTATTATTTATTTTAATCGTTGGTATAATTCCCGGTATCAGTAATCGCCACACTAATCGGTTTAATACGTATGAATATTTGGACTGAAAATGCATTTCACTTTCACGCTTACAGATAACCGTTTGATTATTTATACAAACAGTTCAAGCAGTTCAGTCATGAATCGTTCGATTGTTTCATTATTTTTTCGATTACCAATAATTCGATTATTGAAATCATTCGATTATTCCCATCACTAATAACAATGTTGTTCGACCGTGACGATCTCAAAGTTCCGACCAAGAAGCCGCCGCCACCGTTTCCGGCTTTCCAACGGTGACTTCCAATCGGTCCCCTGTCATCGGTGTATGGGGGCAAAAGTTATCGATTTTTTTTTCCCCGGTAACGTCGGTAAAAGTTTTACGACTGCACGCGAGAAATCGAATGAACGTTTTTTTTTCCCCGGCGCAATATTGGTCCGTCGATCAACGGAACAATTCGAAACTTCAAAAGTGTTTTTTCGAAATCCTTATCGAACAACGCTTTGAAATCCTCGGTTTATTGAAGAAAAAAAATAAAATAAAAAGGTTGATGTGTAAATAAACGATCCCACTAATAAAAACTGCTTTTGATTCGTTACCAAAAATATAATATTATGTACGTACATTAAACAACGTAGCTGTTTTCTGTTTTTCGAATTCTATCTGTTACTACAACGTTATAACTATCAACAATTAACCAATGCGCACTAAAATGAATTCTACTTGTTTGCATGTGTGTGTGAAGGTATGCAAACGTTTTGTATCGCAATTTTTAATTGTAATTATACGGTCTAACCCAGTAATGCGATAAAGGAATTCCAATGAACGTTTTCGCAGTTGAAACCGCGATATGTACATTAGTATAATCAAATGAAATCACTCGGATTTCGTCGATCCGTTAAACCCGTAAGCCGATGTTGCGGCTTATAGTGGTGCGTTAGTACGTTTTTCTCACTTGGTGTACAGCCAAAACGATATGTGATGACACTTTGTGTTACTATTGTCCTCTGTTTCGTCCAACATCTGCTGCAGGACTACTGGATCATAGCCTTCAAGCGTCGCGGCTAACATTTCTTCGACTGTGTTCGCGGTTTTTGACCGACCTGCGAGAATAACATTTGTATCAAATCAAAACATTATCATAATATTGATGGCGAACTTTACGAAAACTATGCGACGGTGGTTTCATCACCGCGACAAGAAGTATATAATATTATATTGATAAATTGCACGTTCGCAATCATTTTCCGCAGTGTTTTTAATTGGTATTTATTTATTTTTTTTTTATCTATAAATTAATAATTTGGCGCACATGAACCATAACATTGTTGGCTTACATGTTTCAGCTATCCGCAAAAAGAAATCGCGAGTTGATTCCGTACAACGACGCGCCTGTATTCAATTTATAACCTCATTTATCATCAAAAGTCCTACGCTGAACTGCAAATTATTCCACGTCTTCTAATTTTTATTATAATATTTAATATCATTACGTGTTAATCATAACTGTACAGTTCAACGTTATATGATTACTATGATCTACGATGCACTTAATCTACGGCGACAAAATATAATAATAATAACAATAATAATAATAACAATAATAATAATAATAATAATAATGATATTATAGCTAATATTATTTCTACACGTCTTTTACGTGATAACTCTTAAACGATGTTGTGCAATAGTATACCTACGTACATTAGTTCAGTATTATTCGATGTTATATTTTATTTATTATATAATCTATAACAATATTTCTTTTGTTGAAAGATTATTGTAGGTACTTTAGATTGAATTTTGTTATTTTTTTCATCATCACTGTACTTATACTAAATCACACTTAACAAACTAAGACAATCGGAATCGCTTGACAGATTGCGTATTGAAGAGAAGAGCATCGCGTCACCACCACCGAATACAATGCCAATTATCATTCGTAGCATAATAAAATATTGATTTAGTTCGATTAAACAGTAGTTGATATCTTGTAAAATTATCATGTTATTATTCACATCTAAGTATAAAATTTAAAACGATTAAGACTGTAGCTTATTTTTGAAACAAGATAACATATGAAACAAAAACAAATGTCCTGTCAGAACACCCACAATGGTAAAATGTCAATAGAAATTATCTCTAAATTAAATTACACTTTTTATTGATTTTTTTCAAGCACAGTATTTTTAAATGTTTCTCTTGAAATTGCATCAGTCAATGTCTCCGATTCGATCAACTCAATTTGAATATATAGTCGAAAATAATTGCTTATCTGCAATATTGGTATTTCAAATTCAAATACATAAAACTATCACGTTTTAAAACACCCTAACATGTCAATTTTTTTTTTTTTTATTGCCTTTGTTAGTAACATAACAGCTAAATTTCAACTTGTATGTAATTATTATTAACCACGCGAAATCAAATACATTTTACGAATCGGAAGATATTTATAACCATGTATTTATCATAGGTCTATGTGTCACCACAATGACCAAGATTTCAATGATTTTCATTCGTAAACAATGGACGTTTTTGCATTATTATTCAAAATTGAGGTTAGGTTTCGGATTTCCCGGTAAACTACCACTTTCGCGTTAAGTGTCGCAGCTATAATTATAGCGTGTCCTATATACTTGAGATGCTTTAATTCTGACCTTTTTTAACCACATAGTGACTGATCAGTGCGAAATTAATTTTAATTGAAACATGAAAAATAAATAACACGTTTTACTTGACATTTTAATTCAAATTCGTCACAAAGCAGTTGTATCAAATATTAATTGGTGTAAAAAAATATCACAAAACTGTACTCTACATAGGTATATCTAAAGAGCAGATCTTTAGGTTTTTACATATTTTTATTGGCTTTATGCAGATTTCCGAAGATAAATAATGTGGACGATTTATCCATCATAGAATTCGTAAGAAAGCATTTATTTTGCATGATGATTTTAACATATCTTGGACATAAGAGAATATTTATTTTTCATATTTTTGAATATATTCAATTATTGTTCATAAAAAAGCATATTTTATTAATTTCTCGAGTTGTGATTTTTCTAGGAAAAAAAAAATTTGATTGTTATTTTTACACTCCTATATATGGAACTGTTATCTATTTTTTCCATTTAAATAATTTGTCTTTTACCAAATAATGGTGTATACAAGTTTTTCAATTTTTTTATTTAACTATTTTGTTTTTTATATATAATTTTATTATATTTATAGTCTTATGTATGAACTGTTTTAAATTTTTATACTTAAATTATTTACCTGTTACCAAGGAATAGCCCATAACAGTAATTTATTGTTTTTATTGAACTATTTAAGAAAAAAAAATCATATTATCGCATATTTACAAGTTTAAGAAATATTTAGAGATTATTTTAAGGTTTTTTTAAAACATATTAGCATCATATTTTAAGCTTTTAAGAACCTAAAAATCCGCTCTTTAGTTATATCATAACTTAAAATAATTTTTATCGAACCGTATAAAACAAACGAGAAAAATATTATGCTATTTATGCGCGCCAACATCTTTATAATCCCTAATCCTATTTCCGAACAACTAGCAAAAATAAATAAAAAGAAATAAAACCAATAGCTATAGTTAATATTACATATAATGTGTAATCAAACACCATGCGTTTATATTGGAATCACCAAACAAGTAGACACCACTTTAACTACTACAAGTTACAAATCAATGGCGGCTTACGAATAGCTTTGTACATATATGAATATATATAACAACACGCACAGTTTTAATTAATTATTAATATCGATTTAACAACGTATAAAAGAAACTACGCTTTCAGAAGTGCGAGCCAAAAATATTGTTTGCCTTTTTTTCTTTTTTTTTTTTTATTTAAACACGAAATAAAGTGCCAACAATACAATTGGTAATCGTGTAGGCAACGAAAGTTGCGACAGACAACCAGACGGACGAATAACGGATATTATAGCCTATTTAGTATTCTAAGCGTAGGATAGTAATAATAGAAAAATAAAATATTACGTATAATATTGGTGAAAAAAAAAATGTCAAGAAGATTTTGCTTAACCGTTCTTTTTTATATATATATATATATATATATAATTACACCGTTTTATCATTGATTAAACAAAATAAACTAGATATTCAATAATCAATGACTTTACCTAATAATAATTAAAAAAGTATTAATTGATAAATGAGTTGATCGGATGTACGAGTTTTTTTTTAAACCGAGTATATTTAAAATTAAATATTATAATGACGTTAGCGAGTTATAATAAAAATTTAACATTAATAATATGTTATTCAAAAAAACTTTAAGCAATTAAATATTTTTTACTTAAACTTTCGTTACTAATTCTGTTCACCGATTTGTTTCCTTTATAAATAATCAATTTTATTAAGTATTTTCGAACTCTTAATCTCATAATTCTCATACCACCAGTTCGATAAAAAAAAAATTGAGAACTATATACTATACAAAACTTGAACGTATTTTGTAATTTAACTTTTCTACAGTTGAACGTATAGTGTTTTCAAGAATACCGAAGTGATAATTAGCGCATCTTGAGAACAGTGATGTTCTTCATGAGCAAACGTGATATGTTCTCTTGGATCCGTCATTTCGAACAGAAAGTCCAAAGGGTCGAAACGAATTATTATGATCACGACGTCACCAAAAACCAGAAAATACGGTGACCAGAAAAATAATTACGGGATGGAATATGAGGAGCCGATTCGTTTTGTTTTAGAAACTGATAAGAAATGCGATGGAAAACTAAAGACCGCAACGATCGGTGAACGGCCGCTTTGGCGGCAAAATATAATGTACAGTAATGATGAAGTGCGGCCCACATGCCTAATACCTAAAGGTTTCGTTTGCGCGGTTCATACTTCATGATCATGAAGATCATGTGATCGTGAACGGATTCGCATCGGGGCACCGAAGAGGAAACAAACGCGCTCTACAAAAATAAGTATGTTTACGTGTTATATGGCTACATTAAAAACGATATTGGAAATGTGTGTTTACGATTGTGGATTTTGAAAAAGGAAATCCAGTTTCTAATAATATACGAACAGCGTATGTGCCAAAAATGAAAAAAAAATATAAATCCGTAGCCGGCGGCGGTGCTGGTGTAGAAATATTAGATATAAGTGCGTGCCGTGCGCGTTGCTAACCCGAGCGCACTGTATAATCACGTAGGCGTACGGTGTGACCGTGAAACAATAATTATCGTGCGCAGCCGATGGGCGCATTGGTCAATTTACGACCGATTCCCGATAAGAACTCCCGTAGACCGTCGCGTATTTCAGCGCAATGAATTACACGTGATTCGCACGAATGAAATATTGAGACGAATCGCGGTGGACGTGCTGCAAACACGTTTATATTCGACGTTTCTCCTTCGAAACGTACCGCGGTATTATTCTCGAGCTTGAAAATATTCCGTAACAGACAGAAACGATCGGATATGCAAAAATATGCGTTTGCACATAAACGAACACTTCCGACTGCAACAATATTCACGCCGTGAGATATCATGTGGTGCGAACCGTCACCAATTGACAATTTATAAGAGAATATAAAAACCTTATTGCAATGTATCCAACGAAATTTTACGGCACGTGTGCAACGAAACATTAATTCATTTATAAAATTTCGGTCTAATAGTTTCTCTCCGTATCTATAACCTACGGAGTTATCTTTTAATCGAATGATATTTTCAAACTACAAAATTATGTGTATTTTAATCGTATATATTTAAAAAAAAAACATTTACATTCAACTATTAAACGCTACGTGTGTACTTTAAATGTGACTATTTTTTTTTTATTTATTTTTTTTTTTTTTAATTAAAATAAACAACTCGTACATTTCGTTTCTATAATAAAATCCGAAATTAAAGATATCGTACTGTGCGTGGATACGAAAAAAATCCGTTGATTTTTTTACGGTTCGAATGCTTTTCAGATCAAATATATGTATATACTAAGCCTCCCAAATACGTTTGTAATTCAGTCATCTTGATCTAATGCTGCGTCCCGGAAACGCGATCTGGAATATTTTATTTCGGTACATAAAAACATGCGATTTTATACAGAAGTCGTTTTTTTTTTAATGCCAATTTATTATGTAATTTATCAAACGACGATCATATTGAAATAGAAAACACTAGACCGTATCTAGACTTCAATTAATAAGCGCGTTATTAACAGTAAACGATTTCACCTCTACATCGACTATAATATAATATTAAATGAATCTTGTTGAAGTATACACATATTTTATATTCTACGACATGTATAATACTCATTTAATATTAATATGTAGGTAAATTGATAGAGAGAGAAGAAAGTTTCTGTATAAAAAAAAATTATTCGAAAAAATATTCGAAACGAACATGCAAAATCTTGCGTTTTACTACGTGTGTTAAGGTTTATATTTGCTTTAATTTTTTTATTTTACAAAACAAGTGCGCGTTTTTCAGATTTTTGTTAACAGTGAAAGCCGTTTTCCCACACACACGCGCACGCGCACGCACGCGCGCGCACACACAAACACGAAAAAAATTATGATAATGATATGTAATTCACGTACCAACCGAGTACACAGTAGTGGTCATGCGGATCAGCGATGAAGTCTTCTACACGCAAACACACAAACGTATAAACATAATATACACACACACACACACACACACACGTCGTTCGCTAGATCAATATCACACAACATCGGCATATACGGTAACTATCGCCTATTTTTAACACTATATAGCCCAACGTGTGTGCGTGTGCGTGTGTGTGTGACCCGAGTATTGGACGTAATTCAAAATCACGTAAATTTACCGAATCTTTCGTCTTCGATCCGAAAACCTGCTCGCCGAACGCGGTGTAAATAAAACACTGTACATTATATTATAGTACATTCGTTGTAAAGATATAGGTATACGTGAAATAAGGAACGCGCGGCGATACTCCGAGTGTATAATGTGCACAATTCAAGTATACCGTGACCACGGTCATTGTTATAGGAGCGTGTGTGTGTTTGTGTGATCACCGTATTGCCATTATACGGCTCAAGCGTATAATAAAAATATATACACAATAATCGCTACAAGAACACGGTGAACGGTCGTCGAAAATCAAATATATTATATTATGTGGATAATAATAATAATAATATTATTATATCCGTCCCGAATAAAAGTTTGAACGGATCACGTAGGTGGTGGACGTGCGGTTCGATTACAAAGTGCCGAGTGACATTTTCTTATTTTTAACGTCATTCAGCGGCAAAATATTATCTTTAAAACGATGAAATTTCTACACATAGTTCTTATTGATTAAATAAAAATTAAAACCGTCGATGGTGCGCCCATAAGCTGACGTCATCATTGAAAAGAGAGAATAAGGCGTAAAATTAAATTCTGCAATATTATACATGACATAAGCAAAATGTATAAAAATGAAGTCACAAAAAATGTTCCGAAAACTTACAAGAAGTGCATAAAATTACTAAAATTTCTTAAGTCATTAATTGTTTGAATACATAATTTGAGTCAATAGACACGTTTGTTAAACTTTTGACAGAACTTAAAAATGATTAAATTATAGTTAGAATTCAAAAATGGAAGTAAATATTTGAAAATTTTCTCGATGACTGAAAATGGTTAAAAATCAACTAAAATGTATAAACGTTTCATAAAAAATGAAAAATGCAATAAAAAAAATTAACTATTTAGATAAGTATTTTGTTTTAACTTGAAAAGTATAATATCGTATATGACGTTCGGGAAAAATACAAGTCCCATCAAAATCTATTTCATAGTTATTATAATAGGTGTTTTCATTATTTCTGCGCCAATTACAATTACATTAAAACACGGATATGGTTGCGGGTACTACATTACGTTAGTATGTACCTAAACATGCGTTATTACCATCGTTGCGGTATCGTCGTAAGTGCAGAATGAGATGAAAATACAAATCAAACGTATACCCGGTAACGGACTTACCGGAGCGCAGTGAACAAACGAAAACCATCAGAACACCGATGACGCGTAACGATTGCATTTTGCCGAAATCCTCTGGACGTTTATTGCTGCTCGTGTCCCGTCGATTTCAAACCATACTGCAGTTCACCGACATCGTTTTCCGATGACTACCTACGGATATGGATATGGATATTACGTGCGGTGCACTACAATAATAATTGCCAAGTACGTAATTCTATCTAAGCGAATACTACAATCGCGGATTACAGTACTCGAATCAGAAGTACATTTATTACAATAATAATAATAATAACGTAACATGATGTGCACACGCATAACGAAACGGATACGAAAAAAAAAAAAACACCGACAACAACAACCAGATAAAACGCGGCTCGCGGTGAAAACACTGCGAGGAATTAAATGTATACCGTCGTACAGCGGACGAACAAGAATAATAAATACGACACATTATCTCGAGCGCCACGGGCAGATACGTGTCCGTATGCCCATCGTGCACGAGACGTTGTAATCGGATCAGACGAACGTCGCATTTAGGCGTTATAATGTCGAAACTAGGATTTCGTTGAAACTACTTAAAGCAATTATACTGCGAAACAAGTGCGTTCACGTCCTACTGTTACCAACAATACCGTACACCGGCCCGTCGTTATCCGCGTACACGCACGTCACACGGGTAAGTAAATAACATGTTTATCTATCAAATCGCATTTACGCGTAATGAATTTGTTTCGATGAATTATTACGGCGGAAAGGTACGTTCGGGTAAATATAATTATTATCACCGGCGTGCTTATAGTGCTTTTTTTCTTTTCTTTTTTTTTTTAATTCCAACCATATCGTTTGAAAATAAAATTATAACGGGATGTGGTAAAAATATGCCGGATTACTGTGGGTGCCGGATTACCAAACACCATAACGTAATGTCGGGTTTTCGTTCGGTTTATATTTTGTACCTTTTTACGCTCACTGCGAACGAGGTCGTGGTGCGTAAAATGATGTTCCTGTCGCGAAAACGCTGTTTTCAAATAACGATCGAAATCAAGTGAAAAACAAATGCTGATAAACACACCGCAACACACACACACCAACTACTTGTTGACAAGATTTTACCGATTTTTATTTCTCTTCAGGTTTCGCGTACATGCAAATACATTTCGTTTGACACGCTACCGCTGGAGTGTACGCAATGTTATCAACTCGAGTGTTGGAGAGTTGGATTCGTATGGAAGTATGATAAACAGAGATGTTGAATTTTTTATTAAAAAAAAATAAAACGACAAAGTATACGGTTTTTTCTTGTTTAGAACTACTTTTTTTTTTTCATAAATAATTTTAATGTTTTATACTTTCAACGTTTTGAACAGAATGAAAAAAAACATACGATTCAAACTATTCGAGGCGTACACTATGCATTATAAGTGTAATGCGTACAATGCAAATAAATTAAAACGTAAATAGATAGCGAACAATATGGTTCAATTCTTTACTCAAACAATTAAAACAGATGTGTTCGTCTACTGGTCGAATATAATTGTTAATACTTATTTACATAATTGAAATGTATTATTATGGTTTGTAATTTTTAAATATCCATCTTGTGTTATTATTCATCATTATAATTATATGAACTTATGGAATAAGAGTACTTGCATTTTTCAACATAAGTATCATGAATATGCGCCTTTAGGTATACAAACAGTATTATTACGGGTAGACGCGTAATACAGATGAGAACATGTTTTTAGCTAACGCATAGGTACAAAACACAAAATGTACATACAACTGACTCATATTTTTGCGTTTTATACTATAGATAATTTGCTATTTTGCCCATCAACTTTTAGATTCCCGAAATAATCATAATATAATGAGAAATTTGTATGATTTTTTCTACTATTTTGTTTATCTATTGCCTATTGCAAAATTTGAAAATAGAGGAAATACGATTTCAACTGAACGAGAATCGATTGAGCGCCCTAGTGGGCCGAATTTTCGATTTTACTACAAATATTAAATTGTCGCACAGACGTAGTAGATACGTGTGTATATAATACGATGTCAAAACGTTGCGTTTGCTGGAGTTAGGTTAAATTCTAATTTTCCATATTTCAATCGTTAATTGCTAGTCGCATATAATCTGAGAGCTCAAAATACGAAAACGTGTTTTCGTACAAATGTTTTTTAAATTTGCGCTTTTTTTTATTATTTTAACCACACATACGATTCATTTTTAATAATTCCAAACACACGCGACAGCTCTGAATCAAGGCTCGTTTCTGAGTATCGTTTTATGTCATTCGCGGGCGTTCATGTAGGTTATTTTTCTCAAGAAACATAAACGATACACAGCATTAAATATCTATTTCGATTGTTTGATTTTAACTGATTACCTAAGCAAATAAATATACGCCGAATGCGTAGAGTTAACATATTATAATTTAAATTTTTATACATAAAACGCGTATCGCACACGCACACACACACGCGCGCGCACACACAAACATATTTGTAATGCACCTACAAATAAATATATAACGTACGCATAATGTAAATATTATGTAAACGTGAATTTTTTTATCAAAAGACACGAGAATATAAATCGATATAATGAGAGGTCCCTTCCGTAAACATACGCTATGGCACACGTACTACGCCGCACTACACCATATATACATACAGTAATGCGTATAGTACAGTATTTATATCATAATAGTTAATAACGTCGGCGACGCGTCTACATGTGAAATGATTACCAAGACTGAACTATTTTATCGGAACATTTGAACAGTATATACGCGTAAACTAAATGCATACAGTGGTGTATCCATGGGGGATTTTAGGGGTCAGAATCCACCCCCCCCCCCATGAACCTGAGATGGTAAGTTAACTTTTACATGCAACACGATTTTTTCTTTAACATTTTTATATTTTAGAAATTTGATTTGGAAATCATATTAATAATTTGTATAAACACTATAAACGTATTGTACACACGCTACACACACACACATATACACGTCATAATATTATGATCATATTTACTTTACTACTACTTTGATAATTTTTTCTTGGGAATATATTGTTTAGGTTATCTACAACGGTTGATTCTATATCGGTCGTCTGGTCCCGATAACTGAGTTAATAGCGATATCGTTGTCTGTATTCAAAGTTTATTTTGGTTATACCTATTGCATTCGTGGCTTGCCGATCATTTAACACAAGCACCTTATTGTGTAAAATTAATAGTTATTTTTTAATAGTTGGTCGTTGCCCGTTGGTTTCTCACTGTTTTACTTACTTCTCGTTTATTCGTTTATATATTTGAAATTTGTATTCCATTATATTTGTTTTATTCTAATTTGACATCATTCTAAGACGTCTAAACATTCCATTATGGTAAAATATTTTTAAAATTTAATTTTTAGTATACCTAAATGATTGGACAGAAAATATTCTAATATCTAATATTTATGTTCCTATATTAGTTCCTAATTCCTAAATTGTTATTATTACTATTATTATTTATTATTATAGACAAATTCTCTAACAAATAAGCAGACTAGAAAAATTAGTTATTTTTTTTTTACCCGAGTCAAAAAAACTAATGTCAACCAGATTTAAAAATACCAAGATCAATAGATATAGAGTAGTCAAAATGATAGTGATAAGATTAAATATATATAAATTTGCTAACCCCCCCCCCCCCATAAAAAGTTCGTGGCTACGCCACTGGATGCATATTATTATATTTAAATCGCTTCGGAGTGTGTATAAACTGAATATAACAGAATCGTCCCGTGCGCGCGCGCACATTATTTGAACAGAATTTTTTTGCATCGACTAAATTATTTTTTTATTTTTCTCTCAACACCACACCACGCAGTGGATTATTAACATTGGGTGAACGAATCTAAAGGATAATTTTTTAAAACATTTTTCACAAATCACGTTTATAATACTATTATAATATGCAAACACCAACAGAAGACCCGCGACAACTTAACAACATTTCTCTCACAATAATAATAAAGATACACTCAAACTCTGTTTTTTTAACGTTCCATTGCGGCCTTTAACGACTGTAATTTCGATTTTTCTGTATAAAAAATAAAAAATAAATATGTTAATCGATAAGGGATTGATATTGAATTCATTAAATCCTTTCAGGACACCCTTTATTTTATACATAATTTATATTCGTACGAAATCGGATACAAAAAACTATGTATAAAAACAATATGGTAGTGACCGACTAAATTATACTCGTAATTATATATAAATATACTATGTAGCTGTCTTCGAGTTATCGTTCAGGCATATAATTTGTTATCGATAGGTGAATGTAATATAAATGTTAATAATATGAATTTTACAGAAACCGACATTTTATTAATCTATTAATACAAAATACAACTACCTTATACGTTAATTTTACTTGCGCTTCAACTATCAGTAATAAGAGTAATATCATAGTTCTAAACAATAATGGCTGGTTTTTCAATTATTGACTTTCACTGACGGTTAGCAGGACTTAGTTGTCGGTCAACACAATGTCCCAATTAAACTGCTTTTGGAACTCCATTTAAATCACCACCATCATTGCTTCCGATTCCTTTTTTAACCGTTAATTCGTATTATAATTATCATCGACTATGATAATTTTAGTAAATATGTGTTCTAATTCTACCATCTATTTTTCTTTTACAATTTCAATTCAAAGTATAATTATAATGCATTTCTATAATACTATACTTATATCCAGTGACGCGGCGAACATAGGTCCGAAACGGGTAATTGCCCGTGTCAAATATTGAAGGGGTGGTAGGTACTCCCTATCACTGATATTTGTTACACAGCATTCCTGTATTCTTTTGTGCTATAAATTATTATTAGATTTAGTGAACTAGATCAGTTACCAGTTATCCAGTAATTACTTACTTTTGGAAATGAAAACGTTTTATTTAAACATAAAGAGACATTATCGATTTTTAAATTGTGAGATGGGTCCCAAAAATGCATGTTTGCCCTTTTAAAGTAATCCTGTGCGCGCCACTGCGTATTTTATACTAAACACAGTCGATTTATTTCGTGTGTACACTCGTACACGATTTGTATACGATACAACGGTCAGTGCGGTAAATTAAATGAAAACATTACATGTATTGCATTACGGTTAATGTATGTAGTTGAACGATGTGCACCTGCAATCATACTGTGCACACAGCTGCGACACGTTAAAAATATCACAAGGGCGGCCGGTCGAATTTTCACGCGAATCGAACATAGCTGTACGATCGAACATCGACAATCGTCCTTCCGCTGGCAGTAGGTAGGTGTACACAGGACCAAGTGATTACTTTCTCATCATATGATTCCACGGGCACGACGGTGTGTTCTGATAAATCACCTCCCGACGGTCGCGCAAAAAACGGACACTGCACGCGTACACAGGTGCGAATTCACAAATACCGACTAGGTATTTTTATAGAAAAAAATTATATTCGTTCGTTCCTTTTTTTTTTTATTTTTTATTTCACCCGCATTCGCGGAAGCTTCCGTAGTTATTCGCACACCGCTATTTATCCGCTCATTCCGTCACTCTCCACAACGCAACACGTTTACACGCAAGGGCGGCACTGTAAACTTTTGAGTCATGATAATATATAGTATCCTTCATTAGAGACGTTTTCGTTCGTTTTACCTATCGCATAACCTGCAGCTATCCGCAGCCGTCCGCCGGGCGCGCCGTAAAAATGGCCACAAGATGCATGCGGCGCGGACAAAACGATCACTATTATAATAAAATACGGTAGAACATAATCGCGGCACGAACACCAATGATTTTCACCAAAGACCGAAGTTTTTTTTTACCCATATTCGATAGCACTAGTTGTAGATCCACATTATTTCGAGCGAAAAAAAACTCCGATTCGACATATCGCGTGTACTCTAAACACGTCGATTGACTAACTGCAACTGCAGCAACCGCACCGTTATATTTTGTGATAATTTAACTGGTGAAACTCATAAGTAATAGACCAGAGTCTGGAAACTGATAATGAACTAGACTTCGTGTAAACAAATAAAATAATTAATTATTAATAATACGATGATACGAGATACGTATAATTGAGATTAAGCTCGCAAATAATCCAGATAAAATAAACGCCCGGAATCATCTGCAATACATTTTTTAATCTTTTATTGTTTCGAGGACATTTTATTTAACGAATAGAGGTACCTATTTGTTGTGCTTCGTTGATTATAATGCACCGATCTACGGACGTTTTGGCTTTTTTTTTTTTTATTTTCATCGTGATCGTACTCCGTTACTCGCTCGACATGTTTGGTCGACGGCTCCGGATGCTTTGGGAGGTCGGTGACGATCTTGCGCAGCTGTGCAGTCGTCAGCAGCGGCGGTGGTGGCAGCGGAAGTCCGGAGCTCCATTTCAGGGTTGCTGCTGTGGACAAAGGCTTGGGCCGCGCAAAACTGCCGATGTCCCGAGAATTTCGCGGGCGCTGCAGGTAGTGTCCGGCGCAGACTCCACGCCGACGTGGGATCCTAACGCGACACGTCGTTAAATCTCGATC